GCCCTGGATTATTGCCTCTGATGCTTGATGGTGTTAGGAAACAGAATGGGTTAAGTGAAAGTTTTGGTTTTTGAATTTGTGTTAAATTTTTTGATTGAAATTGCTTTTGCAGGTCAGATAAGTGCTTTGATTGAGCATCAAGATAGATTATACGAGAGGAAGTCTGAGTTAAAGACATTGTTGAAAGCATTAGCTACATCAGGAAGTCCTGTTGCATCTAGTGGCTCTAATGCTATAGAGAATTGGTCTGAGGCATTTGAGTGGGATTCTCGTGCTGATGATGTTCGGTTCAACGTTTTCGGTATATCCAAGTATAGGGCTAACCAGAAGGAAGTAAGTGACTTCTGCATTTTCTGATCCAAAATGCGATTCTTGTGTCCGCGTTTGCAAGAAATTAGTTTGATGATCAATTTGTTGTTTCTTTGGATGATATGTCAGATTATTAACGCTATAATGGCGGGAAGAGATGTTCTGGTGATCATGGCAGCAGGTGGGGGGAAGAGTCTTTGCTATCAACTTCCCGCTATACTTCGTGGTGGGACAACTCTTGTTGTCAGTCCTTTACTTTCACTGATTCAGGATCAGGTTAGTATTAAACTTATGAATTTAGTTTGTAGAGCCGACCTCACAAAGAGATCATGAAACGGCTAAAATTTACAGAATGGTGAACTTAAGTAACACTTGATCTTTTAGATATTCTTTGATTATATGTGTGTTATGACCAATTATTGTTTACGATTTTTCAGGTTATGGGTTTGGCTGCTCTAGGAATCTCAGCCTACATGCTGACTTCTACTTCTGGCAAGGAAAATGAGAAATTTGTGTACAAGGCACTTGAAAAGGGTGAACATGACCTCAAGATACTTTATGTAACACCAGAGAAGGTATCAAAGAGCAAAAGATTCATGTCGAAGCTTGAAAAGTGTCACAATGCTGGTCGCCTCTCTCTTATATCAATTGATGTAAGTCTCTCCTGGTTTTAGTTTCTTACTCAGAAAATTTACCATGCCACCTATCTTCTCCCTTTCTGCATTTCAATTTCCTTTGTTTGGTTCCTTTGCAGGAGGCTCATTGTTGTAGTCAGTGGGGTCATGATTTTCGCCCTGATTACAAGAACTTGAGCATCCTGAAAACCCAGTTTCCCAAAGTTCCCATGGTGGCTTTAACTGTATGTTTTTGTTATCATTTACTCTATTTTTAATTCATCCACTTTTTTGTTCTATATGGAATACCTTGTGAGCTTAAATCAGTCAACACTAGGGAGCTTGCTTCACCTTACTGTGCTTATCATAATGACCAATTTTCTTCTGAATTGAGCTCTCTGAACTTGCGTACTCGCTAGTATTGTTTAGGTATTCTGCTTCAGTGGCTGCAGAATGTCTGATTCTGTAACAATCTTTCAAAAATATTTTGTAGAAGGTTTAATATTTCATTTTTTCCTAATTCTTATGTCTCTCTATTGCAGGCAACTGCTACACAGAAAGTTCAAAATGATCTGATAGAGATGCTGCATATTCCTAAATGCGTCAAATTTGTTAGCAGTGTTAACAGGCCAAATCTCTTTTACTCGGTATGCTTAGTAATGATTTTTAGTATACTATTCTCATGCTGTGGACAGTTTGTAGGCGTGAACATGAGCCAGTAAATTGTCTTGCAGGTCCGAGAAAAGTCGGCAGTTGGTAAAGTGGTGGTTGATGAAATTGCAGAATTCATACGGGAATCATACTCTAACAATGAATCTGGAATAGTCTATTGTTTCTCCCGGAAGGAGTGTGAACAGGTTTGTAACTAAAATTCACACATCATCATATGTACTTAACTTAAATATTTAAATCCTATTTTCTTTTGCACCATTTATCTTTGTCCATTAATATTGTTCTGTTGAACGAGAGATCAGGGAAGAAAGCTTACATATTTTGTCTTACACGCAATGGTGATAGATTGCAGGTGATTTACGAGAGAGAGGGATCTCTGCTGATTATTACCACGCAGACATGGATGCAAATATGCGCGAAAAAGTTCATATGCGGTAAGCTACTATTTTTTAAAACATGTGGTGCATGGTGCTTACCTTGAACCCGAGATTCAAAGTCCAGCTCTGATGCAGCTCGACTCTGCTCTTGATGATCAAGTTATTGATGTGCAATTTGCAGCATTGCCTGATTTTTTGTTGTGTCATGTTCACAGATGGAGCAAGAACAAGTTGCAGGTCATTGTTGGAACAGTACGTATATTCTCTGTTATCATTCCATTATTTAGTGGTACAGTGATCTACATTAATCAACTTTAATTAGTAATAATTGCTTTGCAGGTTGCCTTTGGCATGGGAATCAACAAGCCTGATGGTTAGTAGTGCTAACTTTTGTTTAGTTGATATCTGATAAACTTTCACTTTCAGTTTTCCTTAGTGCAGATTTCTCTCTCGTGGAAGTTATATTCTTCCAATTACATAATACTAGTAGCTACTGATTTCGGAAAATCAAAATATTTCTTAAGACCACCATCCTTCGCATTTTATTAATCACCATTCTTACTATCTTCTCCAACTGATACATGGGGCATTGCTGTAGTCAGGTTTGTCATCCACCACAGTTTGAGCAAATCAATGGAGACTTACTACCAGGTTCCAGTCTCTTGTCCACTAAAACTTGATATAGTTATAAGGCTGCCTCTTATCACCTAACCATCATACTGTAGGAGAGTGGCCGCGCTGGTCGTGATGGCCTTCCATCCGAGTGCATCCTCTTTTTTCGTTCGGCTGATGTTCCCAGGCAGGTATGCTGCAATGTTACTGTACCCTTCTTATCTGTGCTGTGTATATATGTATATATTTCTAAGATTTAAAATGATGCTTTTATTTTCTCCCCAACAGAGTTCCATGGTCTTCTACGAGTATTCTGGTCTGCAAAATCTCTACGATATAGTAAGATATTGTCAGGTACGCCGTTTTATTTCCTTTTCCTGAAGAGTGCATTATCGTTATTGCACCTGTAAATATCTGGAGCAAGCTGTGGCAATCAGCACTTTGTATTGGCTAAAAGCACCAACTTTTAAGAGACTTGTGTACCTTGCTCAGGCTGCTTTAGATTGACTAAATTGTTTTCTTCTGTGTACTCTTTAATCTTTATCTTGTCCAACGTTATAGAATCATGATCTTAAAATGTTCTAAATTGTACGCTATCTTATGAACAGTGGTTTCTGAATTACATTGTTGCAGTCTAAAACAAAATGTCGTCGTAGCGCATTTTTTCGTCATTTTGGGGAACCATCCCAAGATTGCAATGGTATTCTTGTTTACAGTTGTCCACTACTGATAGATTTTGTACTAGGTCCATTGATTCGAAATTTTCTGATGGGCTAATCGTTATTCTAAATTTGTTAAGGAATGTGTGACAACTGTGCCTTATCAAGTGAGGTCAAGGAAGTTGATGTATCGGGTACGTCCCTACATTCAATTGTTGTTTTTCTGAAATACATTCTTTTCATCTTCTGCCAAAAAAGTTTCAGCTTATTTTGTTTCAAGGATTAACAGTTCATTTGCAATTTCTCAGCAACTATCAGCTGTATGTTGATAATATCATAATGACTTTTCGGTGTCATGATTTTTGCAGACCTGTCTAAGCTCGTGGTTTCTATGGTGCAAGAAACGCAATCCAAGGATCAAAGAGTGACGATGTTACAGTTGGGTGACAAACTCAGAAATAAGCACAAGGATCTAAGTTAGTCATGTGTTTTTTCATTTCATTAGTTTCAACTGCATTAAATTTTTGTTGCTATTGATTTTTACCTCTGTGGTTAACCCTAGGTGCTGAGTTAAAGAGAGACGAGATAGAACATCTCGTGATAAAACTGATTGTTGACTCAGTATTGGTAAGATCATTGTCCCTGTTTAAATTCTCTGTCAGATTGTATTATTGACATGTGATAAACCCAGCTCAAGATAATAGCATGTCCGACAAAACAAAAACTGTAGTATCTAGCAATGCCTTACAATCTCTGTGATTGTGCCATTAGTCTCTTCGGGCTGTAATTGAGTTTTGTTTTTTTGTTTGTCCAGAAAGAAGAATTCCAGCACACACCATACTCGACAAATGCTTATGTAACAATGGGACCATTGGCCAACCAATTGTTGCAAGGTAAGGAGTAAGACATTGTCTTCTTTTCAGGCTCACATGAACTTTATAGGCTTCAGGAAATGCAAATACCCTTTTTCTCGGTTTGGATGAAGTCAAATCAAAAGAAGCAGTAAATATTAGAAGCATCATTTATGGGTTTAGTGATCTGACAAAACTCTTAAAACAAAAATCTGTCCTTGTATTTCGGAACAGGAAGAAAGACGATCAAAATGGAAACCTCTAGCAGGCAAACCAAGAAACCGAAAAGAAGTCTTTCATTTTCCGGGTTGGAACTTAACCTCGACGAGCTACGTAAAGAGATATCCGCAGCTGATGGAAGCATACTCCCTCACACGGTTCTCTCAACTCAGCAGATTAGCTTGATAAGTTCCCAAAAACCAGTTTCATTACAAGAGGCGAGTTTGCGCTAGTAAAATTTGGGTTCAATGATTTTAATTATATGTCTAATGGCTTACCTTTAAAGCTTTAATGGTTGGATTTTGCAGTTGGAGAGTATTATAGGAAAACTGAAAACAGAAAAGTATGGAGACAGGATTCTAGAAGAAGTGATGAGACACGAGGCAGTCTCTGAACAACTTGTTGAAGATCCAACAAAGGAAGAGACATGTAATAGCAGATCAAGAAAGAGAGCTAAGACACAGAAGGATGCTATATTGGTAGAGAGCAGTGGAGAAGAAGAAGCTTGATGAATCAATTATCTTCTAATTCAATCATCGTAGCTGTTCGGAGAATTATAGGTCTTCTCTGTTCAAGATTCCAAATTTACACTATTTTTATGTTAGATTTTAACCAATTTTAATAATTAGAAATTCTTTTACTACCATTTTCTGCATAAACTTCATCGTCTCTAATCAAGTAATCATCATCAACATAAATTCAAACAAAGTGCAATAAAAGAAACGTAGGGAAACCTTAATGACAACAAGACTCTTGATCTTCTCCAAGATTAAGAGTACTTTGTTTTCAAAACTAAAACTAAAAACAAACCGACCAGAGAACACCAATGAGATCCAAACTCTTAACGGACTAAAGTCATCAAACAACATTCATCTTAAGAACACCAGCAGAGTCTCCATGTCTACGCACGTTTGCTTCATGTCCTTCAATTCTTCCTCAATCTCTTGCAGCCGAGCCTCACCAATCTCTTTCAGTTTCTTCTCCAACCAATCCAATTTAAACCCCGCTTTTGTCACACAAGTTAGTGTACAGTATGCATTAGCCAGATCAGCATTGGAGAGTTCCTCGGGGGATTGGCACAGACTCTCTGACAAGCTTAGTATGCTATTCAAGTATGCTGTTCTCAGGTGTGGGTTCTTTGGACGGAATTGTGATGCAATGTCTGGGTGCTTTATAAAAAGACTCTTCACAGATTCTACCTGAAAAAAATCCATGTATAGAGTAACTCTATCAGATAGCAGCTTTTGGTGACCTGAAAACAGATCCACAAACCATATTTGCAGCTTGAATAGTGAGCGACTCTTAGGATATGTATTTGAAAGTACTTTTCTTACCTGTGAAGGAAGAACTTGAAACCCATTGACATCGATGCTTTCATTTACTAATGAAGTTTCCTCTAACACATCTGACTTGCCAACAACTTCAAGAACACCAACCTCGGCAACAATCTTGATTTCTCCATTCACCAGAAACCCACCATTTATGTCAAGAAGTTCGGTAAGGGGAACCATTGATTGGAAACCCCAGCTGACACAATTCTGATTAAACCAGGGTTTTCCTACTATAATCACAAAACATACTATCTGCTTTAGTCAAAACAAGCATTTCACAACACATACATATACTCTCACTACAACACAAGTCCCATGAGTCCATTACAAGTGGAACCATAAAATATTAAATTAAATTTGTCCGCCTTAGAAACATAATCAAGAAAATGTTGGAAGAATCACCTTTCTGTTGGGAGAGTTTCTCCGAAGTTTGATTAACAACAGTTTGGCGATACTTTGTGTCTCTTTTCCAACCATAAGGCAAAGATTCAGAATCAGCAACAGCCAGAAACAGAGACAAACTTTTATTAAGACTATCCCCATGTCCCTTGGGATAGGCCACAAGACGCCTGCAAGTATAAAACCAAAACCAATAAAGCAAAGTACAATATCAATAAACGCAATCATTAGAGAACAAGTTTACTTACCATTTGGAATCACCAACTACGAAATTATCAGAACAAATTTTATCAGATGGCAAAGAGGAGAAATTCTTAATCGTCCAGGTTATCTTCTTTTCATATTGCTCCTCCATTGTTCTTGAGTAAGACTCTTCACAACCAAACTAACAGATCTTGAAGATAAGTTAAAACCTAAAACCCGAGTGGCACACAACCAAACTTGTTAATAAAATAATAATAATAATCAAACAACAGTTTAAAGACAAAACCTAAAAAGGAAGAGAGAAAGATTACACTTGAAGCTTTTAAACTGAGAACAACACACACATAGACACAGACATGAGACAACTATAGACTAAGTAGCCACAGTTCCAGAAAACGCACCGGTATTAGGTCACTTTGTTTTAAAAAAACCTAATTAGGTTTGAATAGGAATCGTGTTGATTACGCTTCGGCTCCTCGCAGCTCCTAGGTTTGCTAATAGGACGAGTATACATATGTGAACAATAATAGTTTAGGGATCTACATGTAATTTAATTAACCCTAGTCACTCTCTAATGTCTGTATATAAACCTGTAATCAAATTCTATCAATACTAAGAAACATTTCAGCCTCTATAACTTATTGATGCGGCTACATCTATTGATCATGATTATAATATATATATATATATATATATATATATATATAATGAATATCTAGCTTAGTAGACTATTCAAGGATGTTGTTCTCAGATGTGGGTTCTTTGGACGGAATTTCAATGTAATGTCTGGGTGCTTTTCAGACAGGTAAGCTGCAATTTTAGTGTAACCTGCTTATCTCTGCTGTGTATATATCTAAAATTTCATTGACGCTTTTCTTTCTCCCCCAACAGAGTTCAATAGTATATTTTACGATATAGTAAAATCTCTATCTATGATATAGTAAGCTATTGTCAGGTACGTTGTTTCATTTCCTCTTTCCTGAAGATCATATTATTGTTATTACATCTGTTGATGAGACACGAAGCAGTCTCTGAACAACTTGTTGAAGATCCAACAAAGGAAGAGACATACAAAAGCAGATCAAGAAAGAGAGCTAAGACACAGAAGGATGCTGTATTGGTAGAGAGCAGTGGAGAAGAAGAAGCTTGATGAATCAATTATCTTCTAATTCAATCATTGTAGCTGTTCGCGCGGAGAATATAGTTCTTCTCTGTTCAAGGTTTCAAACTTACACTATTCTTATGTCAGATATTAACCAATTTTAATTATAAGAAGTTCTTTTACTACCATTCTCTGCATAAACTTCATTGTCTATAATCAAGAAATCATCATTAACACGAATTGGAACAAAGTGCAATAAAAGAAACATAGGGAAACCTCAATGACAACAAGACTCTTGATCTTCTCCAAGATTAAGAGGACTCTTTTTTCAAACTAAAATGAAAAACAAACAGACCAGAACACCAATTAGATCCAAAGTCTTAAACAGAGTCGACAAAAGTCATCCTCATCGTCCAGCGTAAACTTTTCCTTCAAGTCCTTCAAATCTTGCTCAAGTTGTTGCACCCGAGTATCACGAAGCTCTTTCAGTTTCTTCTCCAACCAATCCAACTTAAAACCGGCTTTTGTCAGAGAAGATAGTGTACAATGTGCATTGGCGAGATCAACACTAGAGAGTTTCTCAGGGGACTGGCTCAGAATCTCAGTCAAGCATAGTAGGCTATTCATGTATGTTGCTCTCAGAAGTTGGTTCTCCAGACAGAATTTTGATGCAATGTCTGGGTAATTTTTAAAGAGATTGTTCACAGAGTCTACCTGCAAGGTAAACATGGACGAACCTTCTCAGATAGGAGTTTTCGAGACTTGAAAACATATATACAAACCATATATGCAGTTACCTGAGAAGGAAGAACTTGAAACCCATTGACATCGATGCTTTCCTGAACTAATAAAGTTTCCACTAACACATCTGATTTGCCAACAACTTCAAGAACACCAACCTCGGCAACAACCTTGACTTCTCCATTCACCAGAAACCCATCATTTTCGTCAACAAGTTTGGTAAGGGGAAGCATTGCTGGGTAGCCCCAGCTAAGAGAATTCTGATCAAACCAGGATTGTAATTCTGTAAAGTCACGAAACATAGAACTTTAGTCAAAACAAGAATCGCACTGCAACACAAGTCCTACGAGTCCATGATAAGTGGAACCATAGAATATTAACTTTCTTTTGTCCACCTTGGAAACATAAACTAGCAAATGTAGAAAGAATCACCTTCCTGTTTAGAAAGTTTCTCCGACATTTGATTAACAACAGTTAGACGATATTTGATGTGTCTTTTCCAACCATTAGGCAAAGATTCAGAATCAGCAACAGCCAGAAACAGAGAAAAACTTTTATTAAAACCATCTCCATTTCCCTTGGGATAGGCCAGAAGACGCCTGCAAGCAAAAGCCAAAACCAAAAACCAATAAAGCAAAGGAACAACATCACGTAAACCTAAAATGAACGAAAACATTAGAGAACAAGTTTTCTTACCATTTGGAGTCACCAACTACGAAATTATCGGAATAAAATTCATTAGATTGCAAAGTGGAGAAATTCTTGATCGTCCATGTTATCTTCTTTTCATATTGCCTTTCCATTGATCTTGATGAATAGATATTAAATTCCTAGAACCGAGGCACACTACCAAACTTGATAAGAAAAAAATATCACACAACAACTTTTTTGTAGAGTCACTTCACTTTAAAAGCATCTAATAGGTTTGAATGTGATTCGTATTGATTACGAAAACTTGAGGAATGTGAAAACGCTTCGGTTCTTCATAGCTCATTGGTTGGCTGATAAGCAGAAGAACACTTAACTTTTCCCTAAATCATTTTCAAAAACAGACTTAATAGTTCCAAGCAAAGGAACACTTAACTTTTCCCTAAATCATTTTCAAAAACAGACTTTCACCAACAACAAAAAAAAAAACAAGACATTCATCGTTTTATATGGCTCATACTGAGAAAGTGTTAAGTGTTGCGAGTCCCGAGTTCTAAATGTTTTCTCCCCATATTTCGTTCCTTTATTTTTTTTCACCAAATCTGATAAAATTATGATATTTACCTCTTCGACCACATAATCAAGTTAATGGCCAATAAATTGAATAATGTTAGGTTATTGTATTAGGCGATTTGTGTAATTTAAATTATACAAATGTTTCACCTTCTTTATTCCTTTTGTCATATACCTTTTGGTTGGTCTATCTATCTTCCAACTTTGGCATCCATAGTGTTTGAACTAATAACATGAGCAAATTTGATCAGCCTCTAGCTCTTCATGACATAATACTTTGTTACAAGGAGATAGAAAAATCCCATTGTTAAACTTGCACCTCGTTTTCCAACGTGAAGTTGCTCTAAGTAATTAACCATACAAATGATTTTATTTCCACTTTTTGTCAGTCTCTCAAATGTTCTTCGACCCGGAGTCAAGCTTTGTCCTAAATCCTCGAACCTTAATTGAAACAATGTCCTGTATTTTCTTCACAAGGCCATGTCTTTGGCTTTGCTTTCTAACAGTTTCAATCAGAAGCCGGTATTCCAATAGCGTAGCCTCTGGTAAAGGTTCCAAGAACTCACACTTAGACAAGATCTCTGGAAGAGGAACACCTGTGACCAGGTTTGTGTCCAGTTTTGTTCTGTCTTTCTTTGTTTTTTCGGGTTCTCTAACCAGAGGACCATCAAGTGCTGAAGGAGATGCACCAGGAATCACTTCCCGTGTGAAGGGTAATGATCTTGCGGGTTGCAAGCAGAATTCTATCCACTGGTTGATTAATGGAGATGGGCCTCGGACTCTTCCTCCTATCTGTTCCGCTTCTTTACCAGAGTCAGAGACAGCTGGGATTGCCTTTGAAAAGTAATGATGCTTCACGGGTTAGAGTCCAGATATGTTATACGGTACTTAGGACAAGAAACATTCAGAATATTAGAGGAAGGATTAAGAAATTCTAAGAAAGTTACTTACCCATAGATCAGCCCATAAGGTGGCACCGGATTTGGGAACAATCACTGTAACATTAGACATACGTTTTGCAACAGGGATAACATCACTGCTCCACCCAACAGTGACCCAAACATCTCCAACATTGAAAGCTTTTAAATAGTTGTTACTGTCAAACAGTCTAATCTATAGGTAAAAGGGCAAATAAGATCAGCTAATATTGTCATTTTTTTTTCCTCAATAAGCATAGAGGTACCGTGCAACATGTCTAACTACACTTATATGTTCTGTTTAGGGTATGGAGAGATCGTAAAACCCAGATTATAGCAAAAACCTGTTTCATGAGTGATGCTAGATTTTTCTCCACGGCAATTCTTCCCCCAGGAACTTGTGAATCCAGGTCTGTCGTGTTGTATGATGCTCCCATGTATTTGAGAACAGCACCAACAACCTCTCTAGGAGAATTCACCATTGCGATCCTCCCTGCAAGCTCGGGTCGCCACAGATCAGCCCAGTCCTAAATCAGCAAAACGTTCAGTGATATTAACTACTTTTAAATAGGCACACCGTTACAAACATCTGGACAGCAATTACTACCAATAAAGTATACCAACCTCTATCGGAGCCAATTTATAATTCTGAAATTTGCTCTTTTTGTATGCTATTACCATGGTGCCCCAGCGGTACGGCACAGCCCACGTTTCACCGTCAGGAGCTTTTTCTCCCGCATAGTTCCTGCAGAGATAAATCTGAGACTTTCTAAGTCATGAAATGAACCCTAAGTACATTCCCAAGGTAGCAGAGGACGAAAAATGAAACACATGTAAGATTATGCCTATAAAATCTCTCAAACTAGTGTTCTTTCACAAAGACTCATATTCATATTGTTAAATCATTGATATAAATTCTCACCTTCCATTTCTCACTCAAGCCTTTATACCAGTCTTGATCTTCTATACCTTTCATTGGCTCAATCAGCTTCTCCCTAATAGCATGACAAAGCCAAGAATCACCAATGCTGATCATGTCAGCTGCGGCAGTTGAAGCGGAACCCTTTTGTCCTTTCCTAGTAGGCTTCGATAAATCAAAGAAAATCTCTTCAAGATTTGCTCGAAACCGAGTCTTTAACCTCACTCTCTTCCCTTGTGAGCTCATAAACTCCTAAATTTTAATCCAGAGAATCCAACAACATACATTTCAACAATAAGCTAAGATTCCAATAGAAATGGAAACACAGAGAAGTGAAACTAAAACCTTGATCCATGATGGTGGCACTGAGCCACGCAAGGCAACGAGTTTTAGCGGCACGGTCAGAGAATACACTTTAGACTTATAAGCTTCGAAATCTGCTTCCAACTTTTCATCTTCCACTTCAATTAGATTCTCTTCACCTGCAAAAACATCCATTGAAAATACAAAATTCAAATCTATTGAAACACAAAGAGCAACGAAAATATTCAATTTCACGCACCAGCTACAGTTTCTGTATTGATTTCATTCTCTGTAACAACAATCGGCGGAGGTAGTAATCGAGCGGAGGCCGGAGAACAGACGCGAAGGCTGCTTAAACCGAGGAACAACACAGTCGAAGCGGAGAGACCAACGATCCTCTCATGAAACCGTTCGCCTCGAGAAACTCTTGCGACGGTGATTCCCCTTCCTCCGTCGCGTCGGTTTCCACCGTGGAAGAAGCTCGCCGGCGGTTTCAAGGAAAGAATCGTCGCCGTAGCCATCGATAAAAACGTAAAGGTAACGACGACAACAACGAACAACAATGACTTCTAATCCAAACCGGTTTAATCCGGTTCAATCACCGTTGAGCTTATACCGTAATGGGCCTTAAAACGGGCCCAATGATGATTTAGACCATTTTAGAGATTAGGCTATTAGCTAAGGTCTAGCTGGCAATAATAATTGGGTTTTATACCCTGTTCTAAAAATCCCCGCCTAGCCCCGATTACTCCCCGCTTAATCGCTAGGCCCACTCTATCCGCCTCGATTAATGACTAATCCCCTAAAAAATCAGTAACCCGATTATTCTCCGCCTAATCCGATTACTTCCCGCCTAATCTTATATACCCCGATTATTTTTTAGATTGCAAGTATAAAAAACTTTTTATTTTTGTTATTCAATCATTTGAATGAAGAGTTTGTGATGTTTTACAATAATTTGTGTTCAAATTTAATAAAAATCATAAATTTGTAATAAAAATCATAAATTTTTACAATATTGGATTAATATATTTTAAAAATATTAAAATAACCCTAAAACTAATCCCCGATTAATCCCCGATTTTAATCCGATTTTCCGATTAATCGCTAGGCCCATGCCGAGCGCCCGAGTAGCGCCTAGCGATTTTTCAAACAATGGTTTTATAAGAGAGAGAGGTAAAGAAAGCGTCGGTTGACACGTGTGGGAGGTCAAGATCGGCACGTGCGCGACCCACTTCGTTTCTTCTCATTGGTCGTAAGAAGAAAGCATCTTCTTCTTCACACACTCTCTCTCACTCTAGTTTCTCTCTCTTCACACTTACCATAAATCACACAAACAAAAAAAAAAGTCGATTCCTTTTTTGTTTTTTTTTTCTTCTCATTAATAGTTTTTTTTTGCTTTACAGCTCAAATTAGTCGTCTTCTTCCTCTGTCTCTCAATTCTTCTTCCTCTCGGATCCATTTTTAGAGGTTCGTATAATTTTTACTAATTCTTTTTGCTGTAAAGTTTTAACCTTTGATATTGTGGGAAAGAGTTGGGTTTTGGGTCTTTTTCTGAATCGTGTTTTGAGATTTGGATTGTAAAAGACTGTTCGAATCTTCAGTTGTTATTGTGCTATAGGACTGGATGGTATCTGGGAATTTTGCAATCTATGTTAAGCTTGAGCTGTTTTTGAGCTCTTTGGTTGATGATGAATTTGGGATTTTTGGCAGAATTTAGCTCTCGTTTTCTGATTTTAGAAATTGGAAAGTGGGTTTTGGTTTTTGTGAGACGATTTCACTGTTCTTGGTAGTCAAAATGTAGGTGAGAGCATGCATAGGTTGTGTGGAGAGTGAGCTTGATGTCTAATTGAGAATTAGTTTTGTGGTTTTAAGCTAATGTATGAACGTTTCTGCTTAATGTTCTTTCTTGAAGTCTTCAGGGTACTAATCAAATATAATCTGATAAAAATAGTATTTCCTTTGCTTTTCAGAAGTTTACTTTGTTACGTGAACAGTTGGACATGGAATCATCAAATAACTGACAACCAAGAGGCTGTTTTTTCAAATGATTGGTAGTAGTTATATTATGCTTGCACAGTGCCATGATGGGCATCTGTGAGATGAAAAGCTGCTCCTCATGGCTTCTTTTGATCTCATTGCTTTTTGCACTATCAAATGAAAGTCAAGCAATTAGTCCTGACGGTACGGTGATATGAACCACTTTTACCATTCATAGCGTTCTGGACCTTTTATGGAGCTTTAATCCTTTTTTGCTCGTATACATTCTTCAGGCGAGGCACTTCTGAGCTTCAGAAATGCAGTTTCTAGATCAGATAGTTTCATCCATCAGTGGAGACCGGAAGATCCAGATCCATGTAACTGGAATGGAGTGACATGTGATGCAAAAACGAAAAGAGTTATAACCTTGTAAGTTTTGAATCCTGTCAGGGTTTTCTGGTTTTCTCTTCTGTATTTGTGCTCCCTAATGTTTCTTGTTTCGCAGGAATCTTACTTATCACAAAATAATGGGACCTTTACCTCCCGAGATTGGAAAGCTGGACCATTTAAGGCTTTTGTTTGTGCTCTCTAACCTTCTTCATTTTTATTGCTTAATATTATACTTCGATTCTGATCATATGTGTGTGATCGCAGAATGCTTCACAACAATGCTTTATATGGAGCAATACCTACAGCATTGGGAAATTGCACGGCATTGGAGGAAATGTAAGCGCTTTTCCAGGATATTTATACTGATTACAAATGGTTTCTGAGAGACCAATTCCAGTTGTTCATAGTCATCAAAATTGTCCAACTGGTTTTTGCAGTCACTTGCAGAGTAACTACTTCACTGGACCAATCCCAGCTGAAATGGGAAACCTGCATGGCCTTCAAAAGCTGTATGTTTTTTTTCCTCTTCCCTATACTTGCAAATGCATCAGTCTTTTAGTCTTTGCAATATCTATTAGTTTTTGTTTATTTACTTCTATCATCATCTAGGATCATTAAAACATATGGTTGACTGCATAATGTCTTCTCATGCTACATTATATTCAGAACTAGTTATACCTAAACTCTTGGTGAACTTATATAAGTACCGTAATTTGAAAAGCATGATAATGTTTACTTCGGATTCACTTGGTTCAAATAGTGGTTGTTTTCTTTTCTCTACTAAAACTGACTTATTACTTTTCTATTTTATTTTCAAGGGACATGTCAAGCAAGGTTGTTTTCTTTTCTCTACTAAAACTGACTTATTACTTTTCTATTTTATTTTCAAGGGACATGTCAAGCAACACTCTTAGTGGAGCTATCCCTGCTTCACTTGGGCAGTTGAAAAAGCTTACTAACTTGTGAGCACCTTAATCTCTAACTTCCGCTGTAATTTATCAAATTGCAATCCTCTGAATCTTTCTGTTTCATTCGTCTTATGAAGCAATGTCTCAAACAACTTCCTGGTTGGGCAAATACCTTCAGACGGAGTGCTCTCTGGATTTTCTAAGAACTCGTAAGACAACAAAAACCCTTTTCTCCTTGCAGGATTAGAAAAATGAAGCCTCTCAAGTTACATTTATACAGCTGATCTTTTAAAGCTTCGCGTATATTCGGGATGATTTTTTGAACCACAGTAACCATTTAGCTAGATTGTATCAGTGCTACTGAAATTTATAAGGTTCTCAAACTGATGCATTACTACTACAGCTTCATTGGAAATCTTAACTTGTGTGGAAAGCATATTGATGTCGTGTGCCAAGATGATAGTGGAAACCCTTCTTCAAATTCTCAATCAGGTAAAGCAATTATGTATTTCTGGTAATGTACAGGTTTTGTTGTGGCTCTCTATCAATAAAGTTATATTTATTTGGTGTCTTCTACATTATAGGTCAAAATCAAAAGAAAAACTCTGGTAAGCTGCTTATTAGCGCATCAGCAACTGTAGGTGCTCTGCTCCTAGTTGCACTCATGTGTTTCTGGGGATGCTTTCTATATAAAAAGCTCGGTAAAGTCGAGATTAAAAGCCTTGCAAAGGATGTTGGTGGAGGTGAGCCGTGTTGATTTCTTTGCACAGATATTATCTCGTAAACTATTGGAATGTTTATTTCTCTCTATCTCCTAAAGCTTCATTATGACTTTTTCAATTCAGGTGCGTCTATTGTGATGTTCCACGGAGATTTGCCTTACTCTTCCAAAGATATCATTAAGAAGCTGGAAATGTTGAATGAAGAGCACATAATTGGATGTGGAGGCTTTGGAACGGTGTATAAGCTGGCCATGGATGATGGCAAGGTCTTTGCATTGAAGAGAATTCTAAAGTTAAACGAAGGGTTTGATCGGTTTTTTGAGAGGGAGCTTGAGATTCTTGGGAGCATCAAACACCGATACCTTGTGAATCTACGTGGATATTGCAATTCACCAACATCAAAGCTACTGTTATATGATTACTTACCCGGTGGTAGCCTTGATGAAGCACTTCATGGTATGATCAATCTGCTCTTTATGGCTCTTTTCCATATTATGAATGATTCACTGAGAAGTTTGGTTCTTGAATTAGTAGAGAGAGGCGAGCAGTTGGACTGGGATTCGCGCGTAAATATCATAATAGGAGCTGCAAAAGGGTTATCATATTTGCATCACGATTGTTCTCCTAGGATTATACATCGTGATATAAAGTCGAGCAACATATTGCTTGATGGCAATCTGGAGGCGCGGGTATCGGATTTTGGTCTAGCCAAGTTGTTGGAAGACGAAGAATCACATATTACAACCATTGTTGCAGGCACATTTGGGTACTTAGCGCCAGGTAAATGCCTTTTAAGAGTCTTCACTTACATAAAGATTTGGTCTTTAATATGCTGAGAGTATCCCATTTGACCTCCACGTAACAGAATATATGCAAAGTGGTAGAGCAACTGAGAAAACCGATGTATACAGTTTTGGGGTTTTGGTTCTTGAAGTCTTGAGTGGGAAACGACCAACCGATGCTTCCTTCATCGAGAAAGGCCTTAATGTTGTTGGTTGGGTATGCAAATGAGATTCTTTTTCAATACTGATATTTTGATACGACAAATTTGACTAAAAAAGCTTTTGATTCATGATTTACAGCTAAAGTTGTTAATCAGCGAAAAACGGCCAAGGGAGATTGTTGATCGAAACTGTGAAGGAATGCAGATAGAGAGCCTTGACGCTCTACTATCAATAGCAACACAGTGCGTGTCTTCGAGTCCAGAAGAGCGTCCCACGATGCATCGGGTTGTCCAGTTGCTTGAATCAGAGGTCATGACTCCTTGTCCCAGCGAATTTTATGATTCCAGCTCTGACTAATTGCATAAACCCACCAGTCGAAACCTCGAGAAAAAGTAAACAGAATCTGATTCCCTGGGGAAAGCCTTCAAATGCAGTATCTATTCGATATCCGTTTTGCTCCCTGAGAAAACCTGCAAATACCGACGAAGAGCCATCATTTTCCAGTAATGGAACATAGTCTGTGTTGTGTTGCCATTTACTTTGCCCCTCCAGTTTTACGAGATTCGAGCCATTCATTTTCAGCCCCTTCTCTTTTTGTTCTGATTTTTGGTAAAAAAACTTTTATTTAAACGTGAAATTGAATTGTATAGTTGTGACCTTTGTAGAAAAAACTGCTCTCCTTTATGTTCTTTTGAAATAATCCACGTTCCTTCATCTTCTTCTTCTTCAGTCTCAAATCAATCTTGATTCAGTTACAGAAGCTGATCTCAACTGATATAAAATTATCGATTCAAAATAACCGGTTCATTAGCTTCATACTCATGCGCACTTAGACCATAAAGCAAGGAAACAAATGTTAATGATTTAAGGGCAGTAGTTAGAGAATGCATGTACAAGAAAGTTTCATCTTTCAATTTCTTCATGTTCCAAATCCAACATCAAATGTGTAGTTTGATGCAGCATTGAGTTGATCTCATCCATTTTTGGGTGTGATGATGGATCATTTCCAACAATAAATTCATGAGAAACGCCGTCAACCTCGATGGAGCTGCAACCAGGAAACTTTCTGATTCCCAAATCTTTCATTTTCCTTCTCACATTCGTTACATCTTCCCATCTATTAGCAGATGCATATACACTTGCAAGTAGAGTATGAGCACTGGAATCACTTACTTCCACTTTCTCGAGCTTTTCCGCTACCCGTTCAGCTATTTTTACATTCCCATAGTTCCGAGCAGCGCTAAGCAAAGAACAGTATACGGGAACTAAAGTTTTGTCTCTTTCACCATGCATCTTATCTATCAATTCCTCTGCTTCATCTAACAATCCAGCTCTGCATAGTAAGTCAATCAGACAGCTGTAGTGCTCTGATTTAGGCTGGATCTTATGTCTTTCGGTCATCGAATAGAAAATTCTTCGTCCTTCTGCTACAAATCCACCATGACTACAAGCTGTTAAAACCGCGACAAAGGTTATATCATCTAATCTGACACCAACATTTTCCATTTCGTAATACAAGTCCAGCGCTCTCCCTGACATCCCGTTCGTGGCAAGACCGTATATAAGTGATGTCCACGAAGCTGTGTCTCTCTCCTTCATTTCATAGAAAACCCCTAGAGCTGTCTCAATGCATCCACATTTTGCATACATGTCTACAAGAGCAGTGCCAACTACTTTATCTACTGTAACTCTGTTTTCACGTATGTACCCGTGGATCCACTTCCCTTGCTCTAAAGCTCCCGTTTGCGCGCACCCCGTCAATAGAGAGACTAGCACGAAATTATCCGGCCTAATTCTCGCAGTTTGCATGCACCTAAACAGTTCCAATGCCTCATCAAACCTATTAAACTGAACATACCCATTCATCATAGCTGTCCACAGAACAACATCCTTTACAGGACTTCTCTCAAACAACTCTCTAGCCTCATCAGTCCTACCATTACTAACATACCCAGAAACCATACTAGTCCAACACTTAACATTCTTGTCTCTCATCGAATCGAAAATCGCTCTAGCCTTATCAAGACACCCGCATTTACAGAACATATCCACCAACGCATTCCCAGTCCTAACACTCATTTCAAATTCTGTGACAACATACCTATAAATCCTTTCACCAATTTCCAGATTCTTCAAAACCGAACAAGCCGAAAGAGTGCTCACAATCGTACCCTCATCAGCCTTCAAATTGCTCTCCCGACTCATCCTCTGAAACACACTAATGGCATCCTCAAACCTCCCATGCCCAACATAACTAGAAATCAATCCATTCCAAGAAACAACATCTCGTTCAGGCATTTCGTCGAACACTTTGTGAGTGATCTCCATCTTACCCAAAGCCGCATACATTCCCATGAGTGAATTGCATACATAAGAATCAGACTCAAGCCCAGTTTTCACAGCATAACCATGAACCTTCTCACCTTCTATAACCTTCCTCAAACGTCCAATTGATTTCAGAACAACCGGTAACGTGAAATTATCAGGATACAATCCTTGTCCTCGCAATTCACCGAACAAAGCCAAAACTTTCGTGAAGCTTTTACTCTCCGCAAGAGATTTGAGCATCTTATTGTACATAAGAAGTGATGGAGTTTGTATAGAACCCATGTTCATGTAGCGTGAAGCTCTTTAGGTGTTGGGCCAAAAGTGAAGATACAAAATGTAAAGTTGTGTACTTTGTAGAAAGAAACTGATCTTCTTCTGCATAATATAACGAATTATCCTTTGTTACCAAAACCCAGAAACAGAGTCTTAATATTCTTCAAAGATCATCTTTTAAACTTCAAAAAGAATCAAACTTTACTGAAACAAGAAGGATCATTATCATATCAGAGTAAATTACAGAAGAAGTAGAGGACTTATCAACCAAAAGATAAAACAGGATTCTCAAGAGTTAGACTCATGATGCTACATAAGAAAAAGGAAGAAAACACACAAATCATATCTCTTACATAGATCATATTTACTCGTGGAGACATATCTTACTTACGATGAAGGAAGAAAAACACAATCATATCTTACACATACTTTTTGTAATGTATTTGTTAAAGAAAGGGATCATTGTTGTTTGGGGTTTGATTCCACAATCTTGCTCGCTGGAGCTTTCTCTTGTTTCTCAACGTAAGCAGACGGAAACCATCCGGCTTTGCCCTTGTATTCTCCTTCTGACCAGCCTGTCCCAGCAACCTGAGTTTGTTTCATTAAACACAAGAAGATTGTTAGATCATTTTGTTTTCTCTGTTTTGTATGTATTGTTGAAAAGGGTGGCGGGAAATGTACCTGTCTCACAATTACATAATCATCGACAGCGAGACTTAGTTCCCCTGGGGCTTGAGCATCAAACGGGTGCACAACCTGTTTAAACAAGCCAATATAACTCTTGTTCCTAAGTATTTGTATAATCAGACTCTAACCGAGTTTAAGTGTTTTAAAAGGCATTACCTTTGCAAGAAAGTAGGAATCATTTTGACTGAGAAGGTGATGGTTGTGATGATCATCAGATCCATTGGACTTCTTGATCTCTTCCTGTGGACTAGGCTTGATTTCTTTCTGGTGATTGGATTTGGTTTCTTCTTGGGGACTGGACTTCATTTCGTCCTTGGGAGTGGGTTTGGTTACTTCTTGGGGATTAGACTTGATTTCTTCTCGACGACTTGATTTGATCTTTCCCGAGGGATTTGATTTGATCTCTCCCGAGGGATTTGAATTCGGTTCTTCTTGGGGAAGAGAAGCACTATCCTCTAAATGTAAAGTTGGTGACTTTGGTGATGATCCTATAGCTTCTTCCTCGGCAATCATCTGAATAAGAAGAAGGTAACCAGATCACGTGACTGAGTATATGTAGTCATTATCTGAAGTATATAAACAGAGCGAGTTACTGACCTCAGAATGTAGCTTGTCGAGGATCTCAAGGGCATTACGATGATATGATCTTTCAGCTTCAACCTGCGTTGGTAATTTCATTTCATATCCAATCCAGGGACAAGTAAACAATCATGAGCTTCGAGGGAGATTACCAGAGCACGGAGGCGCTGAGAAGTTACGTTCTGCTGCTGATCGTTGACTTCCAACATGGCCTTAGTAGCTTCTTTGCCAAGAGTTTTCATACTTGATTTGAGCTCAGCTAATCTCGATTCGGAATTCTTAAGTTTTATGTAGGCTTCTTCAGAAATATCAGATTCCTTCAACTTTGATCTTCTCCTCAGTACATCAGTGGCCTATTAATAAAAAAAGCGTTAACTGCCGCAAGAAATTCAAGGTGCCTCAAAACAAACACAAGAGAACATCAACAAGACTTTACCTGAGCTTCAACTTCTTGTCTCAGCCTGTCATAGTGATTCACTAAGTGCCGAGCATCCTCCAAAGGCGCACTATATATCATTGTACGAATTGGTTCACAAACCTACACAAATCAAATTCTGAATCTTTATTAATAAAGAACCTATAAACTACACTAACAAAGTTCTCGAGAAGCCCTGCACGGTAAAAGATTAGAGAATGGAATGAAAATGTTCCAAAAAATTTACCTGCTCACTAAGAACCCCGAGGAGAGTTTCCCTCTCGCCTTCCACCGACTTGTAAGAGGTCCCAAAGTGATGTGAAACTCTTGAGAGAGGAGTATTAGCATCAGGATTCTCATCTCCATATTTCTTAAAATCTTCAGCAAACTTCAACCCTATGGACATACACCATTACAAACTTGATCCCAAGAAGTATATATAATGAAGTATGAAACAAGAACATACCTATCTCTACAACCTTCGTGCCTATCGCAATGAAACCTTCGAGTCCACGAACAATATTCCTTTGCAAACGCTGTGAACAGGAGAATTTTAATAAACCAAAACTAATCAAAATTCCGAGAAAGCCTAAAAAAGAAACCAAAGTATCTTTACCTTAGCAGCCTTAGTAGAGCTATAAAGATCTTGAAGTTTCTGATGACAATGAAGCTCTTCTTCATCAACAACAACAGCATCAGCATTAACATGCCCTAAATGCTTCAAAACCGCCTGCACAATAACCAGATTTTTTTAATACAAATAAAGAAACCTACAGAAATAACACAATCTTGTCTGAAATTGTAAGGAAATCTAAACCTAAAATCATAAAAAAAAAAGAAAGGTAAAATCAATGTCTAAAACAAGTAAAGTCCATACTTTTCACCTAACTATATAACCAATTCATACCTCAACAATCCTATCTACCCCAAGACTATAAAATTAAACATCACCACTTCAAAGATTCCACCTTTATTAGAAACCCACCCAATAACTTTTTCTCAGTAACCAGACATAAATCTAAGAACACAGAAATCTATTAAAAAAAAAAAAACCCCCACTTGTTGTTGCCTGGCGACTTGCTCTCTGAGCTTAGCCGCTTGCTTTCTTATAGCTTCCATGACTGAACCAAACGAAACGAATCAGACTCAAGTCGGTTTCTTCAGTACCAAACCAATAGATCGAGAGGTTTTGCAATAAAGGGTAGTTGAGATTACTTAATTAGAAGAAGCAGAGAGATAAAAAGTTGAGTTTTTTTGCAATGGATCTCTCTTTAACTCTCTTCTTTACAGGTAACAGTCGGAGAAACAAAAAGGTAACGACAATGGAATGAATTTTAGTGGAGAAAGTTGAAGAAGCTTAACTCCTTTGGTTTCAACACTTTCTTTTTGAGTGGTCTTCAATTTTGTACTCATTATTAATAAATTTATTTTTATTTTTTAATGATGTCCTTAATCGTTTTTAATTAATGAAAGCTTATTATTCTGTCTTTTTTAATGGCAATTATTTATTGGACCGCAAGAAGAAAATTATTAGTATCTCCATTTCTTTGTTTATTTGCCGAATTTCGTTTTCAACATGAGGTTATCATATAACTTTCAGAAATATAAAATAAAATTAAGTCTTAAAAATAATTAGTCAATTGCTGTCAAAATAAAATAAAATACTAGTCAATTTCGTCGGTCTGGCTTCACTTTTTTGGACTGGCTACTTGATTTTTATGTTTGAAAAAAAAGAAAGAAATTTAGAAAGTAGAGATATTATTTATACTGTATATTCATTACATTGCAATAATTTATGAATATCAGATAATCAAAACACTGGCTCTCAACGACATCGTTTTGCTTCACAAGTTCCCGGAGCAATCCATGCGTTGAAACGATACCGTTTTGGTCTCCAAGTCATAGCCAACAAGAAAATCCATTTGAACCATATTCCCGTATATAGCAACTTCAGTTGTCGGAATCATACTCAAGCACACTATATCTTCACTCAGTTTCACGAACGAGTTTATCGGACTCAGCTTCACGTCGGCTCCGGTGAAATGCATTGTTATTGTCGGCAAACCGATCTCTTTGTCTCCGGATTTGAAACAGTGTGTTAAAATCCCTTGTGGATCACTCACACGCTTAGCTCCGGTCACTGATTCTTCCACCACCGCACCAAAGTCATCATAAAATCCTGAGTCGAGAAGCGTAAGAGTTGTGCCGGAGTCGATTATGATGTTACCGGTCTTCTTTGATTTCCGGTTTAAACTGTACCCTCCTCCTCCGGTGTATGGAAGCTTGGTTTTGCCGACGGTGATTGCTTCGAGAGTCAAGAAATAGTAAGTCTCGGGGTCTTTTTGGATTAACGGTGTAGTGAGAATAGCGGAATCTTTGCTTGGCTTGGAAGTCATCGAGTTGGTTCCTAGGTTTATGACGCTTGTGCCGTTTGTTGTAGCTGACGTGTGTGACAAGCAATAAGAGAATTTCTTCCCTATGGAAGAACCGAGCTGGGAAACTAACGATAATGGACCACCTCCGAGTCCGATGATTCCGGATCCGGTTTCTTCAAATGTACCACCGTTGTTGTAGCCGCAACCAAAGGCAGTACCGGGGAAAGAAACAGGGGAGCCAGAGGAAGAATCAATGGAGATTGTTTCGGTTGCAACCTCTCCTTTGGTAAACGATTCGTCTCCATAAGAGTAACGGTATTTGCAGGCGTTGCGCGATTCGTCGCAACCTTCTTCGTGTTCAGACAACGCATTGCAGGTTATGGAATCACAAGATTCAGTTTTGTAGGTGGAAGATTTCTTCTTGTCGAAGAGTGGAGTGTTTTGCTTGTAACATTGTTGACATGGCTTGCACTGAACCCATGTTAGGTCACTTCCCGTGTCAGCAATGGCAAGGAATTTCGACGGTGGAGTACCGATTGAGATGGACATGAAGTATTCGCCGCCATTTGAGATTAAACCGGATTGGAGATCGGTTTTGGTTGAGAAACGGCGGGAACGTGAGATTGAGCGGAGGAAAGCGGCGTTGAGACGGTCGGAGACAGTGTGCTGAGGGTTGTAGAGTGGAGAATGGGGAGAGTCACGGTGGATTAGCTCGACGGATAGGTTTTTCCGGTGAGCTGAAGAAGTGGAAGTGAAAAAGATGGTGATGGCTAAGAGCGAACAGTAGAGGAGAGTTTTGGTTGCCATTTTTTGATGTTTTGGAAAGTTTGTGGTGTAGTGAGTGAAAAATTGCAAGGGTTTATAAACGGCATGAAAGGGAACTCGAAAAGATTGAAACGGCAACGAGTTTAGCGACGTGGTGTTTGAACGTGAATGATAAGTTATTGAGAGGTTTAATGGAGATGTGGGATGATTATTGATTATTTTTCAAGAAATAAATAGAGTCGTAGCATTAACCGTGTGAATTCTTAATTTCATACAAAAAGAAAACTCTACTTGTGAGATTTTAATTGCTATTTTTTAAATGATTTTAAGATCATATCTGGCGTTTTAATATTTAATACATGTAAATATGTAATCTAGCAATTGAAACGAATCGACAATAGAGCTTTGGCTTTTGGCTTTGATTACATACAATTGGATCGTTTTGATTTTACAAAGTAACGTAAATTACACCTTTTCAACAAATTGCAATACTATTGATGTTTTTTCATATTAAATAAAAAAAATTCATAGGAAATTAGACTTGGAATTGAAATAATTAAATTTAAGAAATATATAATACTCCTACTACTTAATTTAAGATTTATTTATATTTCTGGTTAATTTATAAAATCTATAAGCATTTTCTTCAAACCGGAAAACAAAATTAACCAAAACAACTGAACCAGCCAAACCAAAAACCCAATTCCCCAATTCTCAATCATCAAAATCGAATCTAGCTGATGCCTGTTTCGCCATTTTGATGATCTCAGCTGCTTCTTTCCTCATCTTCTGCTGTTCCTTAAGCGCTTTCTTCAACATTTTCCTTTGATCTTCCACTGGAAACGCATTCAAATCAGATAAAAACTCGTCGAAATCGACCTTCCTCTCTCGACCAGAAGTGTAAGCAGCAGTATTAAACGATTTGATGCTTTTGAGATTCTTCTTGTTGGTGGTTGATTTTCTCGGCGAAGAACGCCAAATGGTTCCAATGAGTTTCGATGGAGATAACTTATCGAACCATGACGACTTTGATTTTGATTTCGATTTCTTTTCTGGTTCTGAATCTGTTGATGGTGGTGTAGTAGCTAAATCGATCGAAGATGAGGATGATGGTGAAACGATTCTGCGTTTCTCTTTAGGAAGCTTCTTCTTCATTTGTTGTTTCACTGGCGAGAAAATTTTACTCTCACTTATGTTTCCAGAATCTGAGAAATCTCCACTTCCATTAGAGACAAGCTCAGCCTGAGAACTCGATTTCATTTCCAGATCTCGTTTGTTTCTCGAATCTTCATCAGATAAACTCACAGAACCAGGTTTTTTACCTGGATTTCCTGAGAATTTCACATCCTCCTTCGGATGATTCGTCGCCACGCTCTTGGAGTGTGTGAGATGATTCTTCCTATTCATCGAAGAAGACGAAGAAACCGGTTCGTGTCGTGGAGCAGCTGGAAGAGATTTGAGTCGACGGAAGCGAGATTCGAGATCATCGGGAAGAGTAGAATCGGTGAAGCCAGAACAATTGATAGCAGCTACTTGCTCCAAAGCTGAAAGCTCCTTCGCTTGAGAAATTAGCTCTTCCACTGCTGAATCGTCTGTATCCGAAAAATACCCAAAATCCGCCATTGTCGATGATATCAAGCTTCTTAGGGTTTTTGCTTTTTGGTGGAGAAAGAAAGAAATAAGTGTGAGTGAGAAAGAAAATGATAAAAGTCGTCACAACGGCTAATTCATGATTTTGTCAGTTACGTTGGCTCCGATACTGTGCGTCTGTGCGCGTCACTTTTGATGACTAATCCACAAAATGTGTGATTAAGCTTTAATCTACTTTATTAATGATAATTTTAATTTAAGATTCTATTTATATAATATGTAAGCAAAAACTCGTGTATATCTCTCAATTTGTTCCACTAATTATCTTTTTCTGAGGTTTGTTATGTGTTACAAATTTGATTTACAATGGATCAAGATCCTTGTACGATGAGGTTAATGAAACCTGGTCTTGTTCAAGCCGGTGATAAACCGGTTTGGTTCTTATGTACAGTAACAGACTTGAGATGACGCCGACGATTGATAAGAAACCCCAAAACACAAACGTTTTGAAGTAGCAATCTCTTCCGATGCAAACGATTGAGTCAGACACGATTGGTGTTATCTCGGGGATTGCGTTGGCTTCGTAAATAGAGGCAGCGATGTAACCGTATAAGAGTGAGCCGATTGGTATGTTTGTGATGAGAATGTTGTGGTTAACACCTACGCTATTGGGTCCAAAGAGATCAGATGTTATGGAGACTGCAGCTGCAAATATGAAACCTGAGCTCAGACCGATTAAGGCGGTTGCCGTTTGCAATGCTATTTGTTGTGAGGATGATATCGCTAGTAAAAAGAAAGCAATTGGAGTTGGTAAGAGTGCGATTGCAAACCAGCCGGTTCTTGTCAAACGAAATCTCCTGCAAGAACCAATGTTCTTAATGAGAATCTGTTATCCAAATTTCACATTAGACATTCCTTAATCTAAAAAACGAAACTTACTTGTGCATAAAATCTGGTGCGGCAGAGAGTAATCGACCGAAGAAGGAGAATGAAGAGTAGATTGTGACGAGGGTTGTAGAGTTTTGTCCTAAAGACTGAGCAATCTGTCCCAAATTGTTGCTATACACAAGGCCAATAGTGCCACCACAGAAATACGCAATGTAGTATAACCAAAATTCCAATCTACTTATGAGCAATTGAAAGGAGTGTTCATCACCGAGCATCACTATGTTCCCTTCCTTAGCAGTCCCCAATTGTTCATACCCAATTTTGCTGGAAACAGACACTTTTTGGCTCTTGAGCTCATCTATGTTAAGCATAACATAGCCAGAGCTTTCATGGTTTAAACGAGCATTAATAACAGGAAGAAAGTAATCTCGAGCATAGACGAGAAGAGGAGCACACAAGGGGAAAACCAGAAGGACGATAGCTCCAATGAAATTCAAACGAGCTGATGAAGTACTGGAACTGGATAGAAGAAGGTGAAAACTTGTCGTAACGGCTAAGACATTCAAAATGGTAAACACATGGGAGTCATTTCGCCGGGATTCATTGTCTGGTGTAGGATCTATAGAAGGTTTAGTAAGAACTGGATAAAGAGCAGCAAACGAGACAACAAGGGGAACCAGAGAGTTCAGCAGAAGGTATAGATTCGAAGACGACGGGTTAATTGCATTGAAAGCAAGGGAGTATAATGCTGCACTGATTCCATTGAAGCTTACCGTTAAAGATAAGGCGAGCGCACGATTGTTCGGGAAATGACGAATGCAGAGGATAAAACATGCTGTATTGAACCAACAGATGCTTAATCCAGCCAACAAGCAACACAGAAACACCTATCATGTTAACAAGATTCAATCAATACATCAACATTCAAATCAAATTCTTGATCTTTAAGAACACAGAAGCAACAACATCTTAGTCAAAACTAACAAGAATTTCTTATGAGTGTTTTCGAATTCGAATATATGTTACCAGAGAATAAGGCAAAGTGATGATGTTGGTGATGACTAGCCACTGAACACCATAACCAACAAATCCCATAGCCGCCGCAGCGAAAAGAACGACGGAGAGAGGGAAATAACCTAAAGCAATCCCCGAAGACCATCCAAACGCTTTCCCCAAATCAGAAGCCACCGCGAGGTAATTCAACCTCACCTGAGATATTCCGAGTACTGATTTGAGATGGGAAGAGTAAGCAGAGAAATCGAAGTTAGTTCCTGTGGATGCTTGGATCCAGATCGCTGCCACAAGAACAGTCCATTTCCGCCATCGACCGAACATGGTCCTGAGAGGCGGAATGTGTTTCCGGTGAAACTTTCCTTCGTCGTCGAAGGAGGCTCGATTAGGTCGGAGTTTTTCAGATGCATCTCTGATACGAGGTCTCATATACAAAGGAAGATGATGATGAATGATGATGATGTTGACCGATTGCTGCAAAAAAGCGTTTAGTTGTTCATCTACCGCTTTTGATCTTTGTTCAATAAAAGGGATTTTGGGTTTTTCTGATTTTTATTTTTTCAAGTCATTGAAAACAAGTGTCGTATTTTAAATGTTTTTAACCATATTATTTTGGGTTGGATTTAGTATTGATTTTTGGCAACATTTACTTTCAAGTGTAGAAACGTAAACTGTCCAAATAAAACGTAAATGAAAACAAAGAACTGAGAATTAAGGAATCTAAAGGATCAAGAAACATGTCCATATCACACTTTGGTTAGACCAACTAATTTCTTATTGGCAAACAATCTCATAATTGTAGTGGTTAAGATATGGTATGCCTATCAGGATGAGGTAGCACAAATGATGCACTTCTAATCATCCAAAAATATTTTATTTTGACTTTTGGCAAATTTCAATTTACTTCACTTGTAAACAACAAGACAAATCGGTTCGTTTCTCGAAATGCTGACATGGCATCTTCTACGTGGCAGTTGTTTAGGAAGATGACAGTACACGCAACCGCTGAATCAAAGTTTCGTTCGGTTCTCTCGCGAATATTCCAACAAAACCAAAACCCAATTCAATTCGATTTCCCAGCTGTCACTCTTCTTTTTCAAACGACCTTTTTGTTTGTTCCTTCTTTCTAATTCTCCTCTCGCGATTTAGCTTTCATCAAATCAAAAATCTCTAATCTTTCTGTTAATTCTCGTCTAAAGCTCCCTCCTTTAACCCTCTCTGTATCGTGGTATGTGTTGATTCTTAATTTCCTCTGTAGGGTTTTGTTAAATTTTCAATAATTGATCACCGAACTCGAATTTGATTCGAAATTAGACTTCTTTTTTTGTTTCTGATTACTGATTTTAGGTTTGTGTTTTTTGTTAAGTCCAAAGTTTGATGCTTTCTTGGTTTTCTTGATCAGATGGAAGATAGAGAGGCACGTTTAGGAACTCGTGAGGTTAATGAAATATCTCCTGATTTGTTGAAGAATACGCCTTCGAATATTGCGAGGTTGGAAGATGTGATTGAGCAATGTTATGGTAGACAAAAGTATCTTGCTCAGACTAGAAGTCCTTCTGATGGGAGTGATGTTCGGTGGTACTTTTGTAAGGTTCCTTTGGCTGAAAATGGTGAGTCTTTGGTTAGTTTAAGGGAATGCAGTTGTTTGTGTATCCAGGTTTCTAATGGGTGGATTAAAGATGTAATATGTTATTGTCTTTTCTGCAGAATTAGCTGCTTCAGTACCTCGCACTGATGTAGTAGGAAAGAGTGAGTATTTCCGTTTTGGTATGAGGGATTCTCTTGCCATTGAGGCATCTTTCTTGCAGGTTCTTCTTTTCTAAGCTTTTGTGGTTTTATAATGTATTTGTTTATCTAGACTCTTGGTTGTTTGGTTCAAAATTTGAATGAAACTGTCATATCTGAAAATATTTTGGGATATTTGTGCAATAGAGAGAAGATGAGTTGTTGTCACTCTGGTGGAAGGAGTATGCAGAATGCAGCGAAGGCCCGAGACCACAACTTAATTCTAAAAAGAAATCAGTTAAGCAGTCAATTGAAACTCCTTCAGAATCTTCTGTGTCCTCTAGTCTATATGAAGTTGAAGAGGAGAGAGTCGGTGTACCTGTTAAGGGTGGGCTATATGAGGTACCATCGTGCAGAGATTTAAAGAATGTTTTAGAAGTTTCTTGTAAATTTAACATGTTGAGCCATTAGAGTCCTTGTATGCAATCCATCTTTCTGACCAAGGAACCGGAATGCTGCAGGTGGACTTGGTGAGGAGGCATTGTTTTCCAGTGTACTGGAATGGAGATAATCGGCGTGTGCTTAGGGGTCATTGGTTTGCTCGTAAAGGTGGCTTAGACTGGCTTCCGATTCCAGAAACTGTTTCTGAGCAGTTGGAGGTTGCATATCGTAACAAGGTTAGATATCTTTCTGTGGAATACATTTTCTGTTATGATCCTGGTTTGCCTAGAACTAGAAGCAATTGATGCATTTTCTGTTAGTTATGTTTTCGGTTTTAAGGTTCATAAATCCACTAAAGAGGATTTTTAGTGCAATTGATGCAATTGATGCAATTGATGCATGTGTATATATTTTTGATGATATGACAACAGTACCAATTAGTTTGGATTTTTCACGCAGGTTTGGCGCAGAAGAAGTTTTCAACCCTCTGGGCTTTTTGCAGCTCGTATTGATTTGCAGGGTTCTAGTCTGGTATGTGTTTGATTTCATGGGAAAGAAGTGGTAACTTTTTTGCCAGTTAAATGGTTGCATACATAATATTATCTGAAGTCGTAAATGTAGGGACTCCATGCTCTTTTTACTGGTGAGGATGACACCTGGGAAGCGTGGCTTAATGTTGATCCTTCTGGGTTCTCTGGCATCGTTGGATATACTGGGAATGGAATTAAGTTGAGACGTGGTTATGCGGGCTCCTACTCTCCAAAACCTACGCAGGTTCTTAGACTATTCTGGTTTCTTTTGTTAATTTTCTTTGACTCTATCCTTACCACTCTATACTGAAAAATCGAATTAAGTTCTACGTTTATATTTTTCTTATTAGCTGGTTAGTGTTCTTGTTATTGAACACACATTTCTTGTGCATTTGTTTAGGAAGAACTTCGCCAGCAAAAGGAGGAAGAAATGGATGACTATTGTTCTCAAGTATGTTTTAGTATACTTTTGTTTTCCATGAATGGCATTTGCATATCTGATCTCTATCGTCAAATTATTTTTAGAATCTCCAAGTTTTGAAGCTCTCTAGAACTGTTCTTTTGTCCAGGTCCCTGTTCGGCATCTTGTATTTATGGTTCATGGTATTGGCCAAAAGGGAGAAAAGTCCAATCTTGTTGACGATGTTGGAAACTTCCGTCAAATCACGGCAGCTTTAGCGGAGCGTCATCTAACCTCTCATCAGCTCAGCACTCAACGGGTCCTTTTCATCCCATGCCAGGTTGCTATACATATACACATATATTTTTATCCCCTACTGTTTTATCTCTGTATAGTATGATCTTACTTTATAGATTCTGTCTTTCTCTATCGTCTTTGTAGTGGAGAAAGGGTCTAAAGCTAAGTGGTGAAGCTGCTGTTGATAAATGTACTTTAGATGGTGTACGGCGTTTTCGAGAGATGCTGAGCGCAACTGTTCATGATGTGTTATACTACATGAGCCCCATTTATTGTCAAGCTATAATTGACTCGGTATTGAAATATCCCAAATTTGATACTCTCTTTGTCTTAAAGTGCCAAATTGAAACCAATTAGTGATTGAGTTTTAGATTTTGTGACAGCATAAAACCTTACTAGGCATTGTTACTTTAATCTTCTGTATCGTTGTAACTGGTAATCTTGTTTAGTATAAAAAGTGATTTGTGCCTCTATTTCGTTTTACAGGTTTCAAAGCAGCTGAATAGACTGTATCTAAAATTTTTAAAGCGGAATCCAGACTATGTCGGAAAGGTGCCCATCTTGTTTAGTCTTATCATTCAAATTTTGACTAGTGTAAGCTTGCATGAAATTGGAATTCATGTTCTGTTCATGGACATTTTACAGATTTCCATTTATGGACATTCTCTGGGGAGTGTTCTCTCCTATGACATCTTATGTCATCAACAGAACTTGTCATCCCCATTTCCAATGGATTCAGTATACAAGAAATTTTTTCCAGATGAAGAATCTCCTCCAACTCCAGCCAGCGCTGACAGACCTTGTAGTTCACATCCATCATCAAATTTTGAGCCAGGGAAATCTAACCAGTTGAATAACACCGAGGAAATCACAGGTCAAGATAATAACATGGTGGCTAAAGAATCAACAGTACTGGAACATCACGATGTCATCCAGGAAGCTCCTTCACTGATCTCTGATTCTGTTGTGGGCAACGTGGGTTTGGGAAGAAGAGGCGGCCAGGAAGATGACCATCATGATTCTAGTGGTGCTATACCCTCACAGAATGGACCAGATGGAGCGGACTGTAGAACGCCTGAATCTCCATCGTGTTCTCAAGAACAATCATGGGATAAAGAAAGTGTAAATTCTAATAATGAGGAGACAATCAAGTTGTTACAAGATGAGGTAAATATTAGCATTTTTATCTTTTCATTCTTTGATGAGATATGCAATTTCAGTTCTTGTAAGCTTTCAACACTTGTGTTCATAGCATCTGGTACTTTCTTAGTTTTGTGTTCTCTGTGGAAGTGTTGTCCAGTTTCTTTGCTGACTGACCAAAACAGAGAAAAGTTGTGTTTTCATTGATGGAGGTTATTGTTATCCCAGGTTAACTCATTGAGGTCAAAAGTAGCACAACTGCAATCAGAGAATGCCAGAATATTGTCGGAGGGTATTGTTTCTGACCCTTGATTTCTATTTTTCCCATTTATCGAGTTGTATTTGAAAACTTCATTTGTGTACATCTTAATGATGATATGAAATGGTGTTATGAACAGAAAAGGCCAAGGCATATGTGGTGCCTAAGCAGCTCAACAACGAGATGGCATCAACTAAAGATGCCAATGCACCTACAAGCCTTACTCCTTTTATCAAGTACCAAAAGCTTGAGTTCAAGGTGTGGGATTGTAGAATTAAAATGATATATCTCATTCAGAAACCACACTGTAAAAATGTCATTCTAACTCTTAACTGCATATTCTGCTCAGGTTGACACTTTCTTTGCAGTTGGGTCTCCTCTTGGAGTTTTTCTCGCCCTTCGAAATATACGTCTGGGGATAGGTAATACTTATTTATGTAACTCCAGGATTGTGAAAACAAGAGATCCGTGAATTCTTCTTTTTTTCTTGTATATTCTTTACTCTGCTATTGAATTACTTTTACCTTTCCTTGTAAAGTCTTTTTATATGGTCTAAAAGTTGTTTAATATGTGTTAGGTAAGGGAAAAGATTACTGGGAAGAGGAGAATGCTATTGAAGAGATGCCAGCTTGTCGTCGAATGTTCAATATTTTTCACCCCTATGATCCTGTTGCATATAGGTTAGCCATCATGGAAATAAAACAGTGTGTAGCTAGTTTATGGTCTCGCTGTCGTTGTTACTTCTTTTGCAAGTTTGTACTGAACTTTTTGTTTCACGCAGATTGGAGCCACTTGTCTGCAAAGAGTACCTTCCCGAACGACCCGTTATTATTCCCTACCACAGAGGGGGCAAGCGGTTGCATATTGGATTACAGGTACTTGTAACTTTGTGGTTTGGTGTTTCGTTTTACTTCCTCTTCTAATTTGTTTGCTCTATGTAATGGTCGATAGGATTTCAGAGAAGATTTTGCTGCACGTTCACAGAGATTAATGAATCATTTTGATTCAGTAAGGGTGTGTGTTTTCAGACTTCTAATTACTTATATATATATATATATATTGTAATGTTGACCCCAAGTTATTATCTTTTGTGATTCAATTTACAAAATTCTTATCTTTAATTCCAATGCAGACAAGAGTTCTCACTATTTGTCAATCCAAAAGTGCGGATAACTTAGACGGTAAAAAGTCGTTACTTTGCAACGTTTTTTCTATTACCTCTGATGTACTTCTAATTTTACTTGCATGTGTGATGGAACAGAGATGGAAGAAACTGATGACGAAAAGGATGGAAGGTCCTATGGTTCCTTAATGATGGAGAGATTAACTGGAACTCGAGACGGTCGAATAGATCACATGCTCCAGGTGAAGTTCTGATACATTTCCACCTAATTTATAAATTTTATGATTCCGTCGCATTCACCTTTCGTGCGGATGCTGTGGTTCTTGGAAACTGCAATATTGAGTGAATAAAGGAATCAACATGTACTGGATTTTCCTTAAGCTCTCTAATTTGCATATAATGATTGCTGAAATATTTGGGTGATGCAGGAGAAAACCTTTGAGCATCCCTATCTACAAGCAATAGGAGCTCATACGTAAGTGAAACTTTTCATTGCTTACACATTACATTTAACGTTTAGAGCCAAGAACTCAAGACTGCTATATACTGTGCAGGAACTATTGGAGAGATCAAGATACTGCTCTTTTCATAATTAAACACTTGTATCGCGAGTTACCAGACGGACCAAACTCACCCACGGAATCCACCGAAGGAGATGATAGACCAAAAGACTCAAGTAGACCTCATAGCTGGATAGACAGAAGAGAGACTGATTATGATGATGAAGAGCTTCCTTTAACATTCTCGGACAAACAAATCGCTAGAAGCTTCTCCGCAGAAGCCAAGAAATATTTGAAGAAGCCTTAAGACTTTGACCATAGGTTTATATCGTAAATCCGGTGAAAGCTCCCTGATTTTGTTTTTGTTTCCTGTGCAGAAGTAACATATAGTGCAGAAAATGTGAAAAGTAAAAACTCCTACATGGTTTTGCCACATTGTAACCACAATCCTTTGTAACCATAATTTTACAGATAATAAAGCAAAACAATGAAAGCTTCTTCCTTTGGGATTATTTTTTCGTCGTTAGCTGAGCTTGTTTTCAGGTCTGGAGTTGAAGATGTTTAGCAGACATTGGCTGAAAAACCGAGTCAGACTCTAAAGCTGTAGCGAGTTCAGGCCACACGATAGCAGAAACCGACCACGAGCCATCATTGCAGGCGCTAGGTCGCTGGTTCAGGTAACCAACTCCTATTTTCTCAACCGTTGAACATACAGTTCCTAGGAAAGGAGCACCAAACCCAAAATCCAATTCAGCCACAGGGAACCGTCGTCCTGAAGACAAGACCAAAGCTGGTCCTTCTTGTCCGAGGACCACCCGAGCCAACATCAGTCCAGGTCGGTGACTCTCGATCCAATCTATCAAATCTGTGAAATGAGTATTGTTTGTCACGTCTGTTATCGATTTATGCACTATGTTTGCTATCTCTGATACATGGTTTTGCTTCAGATTTTCGATGCTGGCTTCACCTACAGCTACAGACAAGACGTTTCCTATGTAGTTTGAGGTAACGGTCTCGAGTCTTCCTCTACCGTCGACAAGCCATCCCATCTTGCAGGTTTTATGACCGCTCTCTATAGAATCCACCATTTTTTTCCACACATAAGCGGAGAAAGCTTCAATCTTTGTCCTGCTCTCTCCGTTTACAGTAGCTAGAGCTTGCAACGCGTCTATGCTCGAAGCATCGATGTGGTAGAGACGCTTGATGAGCGTTTTAGACATCGGTATGTTCTTAATGTCTTCCTTGCTGCATTTTACGAATTTTTTGTCCAAGTGAGGGTCGTAACGTGGAGGAGACCGTGCCCGAAGGAGATTTCTCCGGTGATCTGGTACACAAGAAACCTGCTGATTTCTTGATATCTCTGACCACAAAGTGAGGAATTTCCCGAAGGAGCTGGCGTCTCCTAAAGCATGATCAAACGTGAATGTTATAGCGAGGCCTCCGCATTCGAACTCTGTCACTTGAATCTGTAAAGCGAAATCCGGGTTAACTGGAACCAGCTTTGATTGGAGAAACACATCGAGATTGTAAAAATCCAAACTCTTGAAATCGATATGAGCTCGTGCTTCAACGAGCAAAGCTCCATTGTTGTTACAGATGATCATAGGCTCCTCTTGAGAGGTTTCGTTGGTAACAATCTGACCCGCGAAAGGATAGAAGTAGGTAAGAGTTTCAGATAGAGAGCTTTTGAGGGATTTGACGATTGACTCAAAGGATAATTGTGGTTGCTTAGGGTAGAAGTAAAAATAGGTCACCGGAAAACGGCCGGAAAGAAGGTCAAGATTTGAGAGAGTAAGGCTACTAACTTTCTCCAGTTGGTCGCCGGAAGCTTTGACTATGAACTCTCCGGTGAAACTCACATCAAAGATTTTCATTTTCAGTTTACCAGTAGGTAAAAAAAGTTCTCTCAAGAGAAAGCTTATGCTAAATGATGCTTATTTATAAGACCATATACAATGAGGTTGTTAAATAAAAAATTGTACAGTTGAATTGGTGCCATGAGGGTGTTAATATGAGGTGGATTATTTGGTGTTGAATTTGAGGTGGATTATTTATATCCAAATTCATCTTTTTCAAACTTTATAGATTTATTTCATTTGATTTGGATATAGGAGACCAAAAAAAAAACTTATTAAACTCAAAAATTAATTATACTTTTTTAGCTATTCATATCCTAACAATTATCAACTTCAAAATCAATATTTCCAGCAATATCAAAATATACCAAATTATTAGTTTTTAAGTTTTTTTCGTAATTTTATTTGTTTTAGAATAATTATCCCAATTTTGTTCTTTTTACTTGTAAGAAAAAAAGATAATTAAGATTAAAAAATAAGAAAGAAAAAATCAAGTGTTTGTATGTATTTTTTCACTTTTGCTTTAATGTTTTTTTTTGTAATGGGACATTCGATACAAGTATTTATAAGATAATAATAATAAAAAAAAGATATTAAGAATATGAAATAAAAATGGTATGATATGGTGTTGAATTTTATTAAACAAAACTACTGTAGAATGTAAGAATTGATTAGGTGGAAGAGAAAGAGATGATGTGAAGTGTTAGAAAGGTAAAAAGTAGGATGTTTAATAATGAAAGCATTGTTGATGGTCTAAGATATATATATAATCATAGAAAATATAATAGTTGTATTGGGTTCTTTGTGATATATATTCAAAGGAACGATCATTATTCGTTTTGAAAAATCTTATGTTTTTGGAACATAACATTACATCACTGTCATTTTGGATAAAAGTTTGAAGAAACAAAGAGTACGACTTTATTCATAAGCAATGGTTCAAATTATCGGTGAAAGTTGAGACTGTAAAAGAATATTCGTTCGTACTCACAATTGTCATTTATCATAATAAGTTGGTGCGATAGTACAACTTTAGTGGTTGATAGATAATACAGATCAATGCTTGACTAATTTTGTTGCAACTTTGTTCAACAAATTTGAGCCGAGATCATCATATTAATATGTCATTTCACAAAATCTTCTGTTGCTTTTTCTAGTTGACTACAGAAACAGAGAACAAGTTGTTATGTTTTATTATATGAGTGCAATAAATATTAAATAAGACGCATTGAACAACGGAAGTTGATAAATTCAAATATTCTCAGTAATTTCGAGTTTACTGAGAATAAAATGATCCCAAGTCCTCTAATACTTTGTGTTGTGTGTGTATGATTCACTGCTTCATGATTTGCTACAAGAACCATATTCAAATACTGAAACAATGGAGTTATGCAACAAAACTTTCTAAAGAACAAAACTTTCTATTCCCGACGAATCTCAAACTCAGCTCCTATCGGTAAATGATCACTTGGGTGATGATGATTCGGTAAGAAACCGACAATATCTGGAGAATCCGGCTCAGGTAGTTGGAGGATACTCACAGGTTTGATGAAGTCTGAAGGAGAGATGAAGATGTAGTCAAGTGTATTTGTGAAGCCAGGAGTGCAATTTGTGAACTTAGGCTCTCCTCTTGTGACTTCATAGACACTAGACAGCGGAACTGGAGCTTCTTCTTCTTCTGTGGTCTCTGCGGGTTTAGCATTACCCGATACTAGGTAATTATAAACCTGGAAAACGACGACAAGTATCAGTTTTTTACCACAGCAAACTCAATTTTATGACTTTGTAAATAGATTGAACAATTAGGGAAACTCAAGGTAAGCAATTGAATCAAACCATATCCCCAGGAATTGAATTGAAGTCGCCAGCTAGAAGCAATGATGGTGTGCATTCGAATTCATCCGATATTAGCGTTTTGAACTGAGCTAGTCGTGATAGTAGGTACTTGGCTTGAGCACGCTTGACATCAGCCAATTCCGGGTCCCTAGAGATAAGCAAACATGAGATGAAAGTTTAAACAAGTGGTAAAAGATAATCTTTAATGTGTGACAAGTATTTTTACCAGTAAAGATGTGTGTTTGCCACGATAACAATGTGATGAAACGGCTTGTTGATTCTAAAAGCAGCCATTATTCCAACGCAATCGCGTTTTAGTCTCACAAGTGGATCATTAAGGTCACGACTGTCTTTTCGAGAATCTTTTGTTTGGAGCAGATTTGTGGAAACATGTGAAGAGAACAATAGATAAAAGTTGGTAATGATGTTGAGATATAAAGAAACAGCACAAAGGATTTGCTTTCTTTTCCTCCAGAAGGACAAATTTACCTTTCGCTTTCTCATCACCTTTTCCTTCGTTGGACGTCTCAATCTTCTGTTCGCTGCAGGAAACACTATCTGCCTTTATTGAGTCCACAAGATCATTATATTCGATCCGTTCCTTTGTGACCAACTCTGCACTAAATCAAAAGAAGAGTGTTGTTTCAATCACATTGATGTTTCTGCATTAAGTTAAAGTCTTGTCACGCTTGATGTTTTTATCATACCAGCTTGGCTTGTAGAAGATTGCACAACCATCACGCTTCCTCTGTCCGGTTCTCTGAATATAAATCCCAGAATAGCCCAGAGACTCCATGTTATTTCTGTAAAAGCTATCGTACTCATCTACTTCCTGCGAACATTGCAACAATATAACTAACACGTGGAGACACCATTTTGTTAAACACAATTCAAAGGCACTATGAACAAACAACACTAAGATTTTTACAGGTCTGAGATTGTCTAATGGATTGAACAAAACAGAAGAATGAATTCTGTGTCTTATACGAAAAGGGTTTCTCAATACTAACCAAACACAAAAGAAGAAATTTTCACAAGAAAAAAATACCTGCAGACAAAAGAAATCAGCCTTGAGATTTTTGAGAACGCTGAGAATTGCATGTGAACGAGCTTTCCATCTGCGGCACAAAAAAAGGAAGACCAAGTCACATTTACTGCAAATATCATAACCTTTTAAGAAGCACCATTCCCTAAGCTTTTAACAAAGTTACTATATCTCTAAATCCAAACACAATAATGCCGGCTTATAGCTAGGTTTCTGCACATTCATAGAATCCATTGTTGTTTTCTGAAGCAAATCTTGACTTGAAGTTTTTATACTCCAGGCCATTGATTACGCAACTCACACAAAGAACTCTTGACTAGTATAAGAAAATTTGATCTAGAAACTGAGAAATGTAGAGAATAATCACTTGAGACAAGCAGGTGGGGAGTGTGGGAGAAGTGCACTCTTCACATAAACCTACAAGAAAAATAAAGCTCAAATAGATCAGAAACTTAACAAAGAAAAGAGCTAAAAGAACTGTATTTATCTCTAAATCAAGCTCAGAAAACACAATTCAGCGACGCAGTGTGATGTAAGATCGTTTAAAACTACAAAATCCGTCAAATAAGCTTACACCATATCATAAAGCATATGAGAAATTAAAAAGCTTGATTATTTATTACCTGAGCTAATATGTTATACGAAACGAGACGGAATTTGATACCTGGAAACACAAAATTCTCATTACTACACAAAATCCTCATTACCATTCTACTTAAACCTAGAAAATTTATATAGCCACAAGCTTTGATAAGTAAATAGAAATTAGCAAACAAACCATCAGATTTACTTCTTGAACCAATATCAGCTCCTTCAACAGATTCGAATTTTCGAACTTTTGGTTCAATTGCAGGATTCGTACTCATTCTTTTCGAAATAATTTTCCTGCAGACTCGAGAACTGTTGAATCAAAGGGTCAGATAAAGGAACAAAACAATCCTTGAACATCAATATTTAGGTCAAAATTAAGAAGCTGCTTTAATCATCATTGCCAATTAACCATAGAATTCCAATAACAGCCCAGATAAATTCGAGATTCGAGAGGATTGGTTACAATATAAAGATGAGAAATTTCCCAATGACAATGAATAGAGACGATCAAAAATGAAACTTTATGTTGATTGATACGGAAACGAAGAAACCCACCTGGGAAGAAGATTCGGACGAGGAAGATGATGATGCAGAGTACTAAACATCAGTGAGAGCAATTGACTTAACCCAATTTGGCTTTAGATAGTAGAAGGTACTTGAGGGTTTTCAAATAAAATAGTGAAAATTTCGATAATTATCATTTGGTCCCTTTCTTTATATTAAAGTAGTCAATGACCTTCATTTTATTTAGTGGAACTTAGAACCCCCAAAAAGAGGGAGTTGGTAGGTTCATTTAAAGGAAAAATGTATTTTCATACGAGTTCATCCGCAAAGTGTGTTTTCCGATCTAGACAAATATATAAGGTTAATTTCAACTTAAACCTAAAAAAAGTTTAAATTTTATACCCAAATTTTGCATTTAGTATCTAATTCAAAATCGTAATTAATAGGTGTTACTTAACCATTACGATTGTTGAGTCAGCTGACAAGTGTTTGATGATTTGGTTTACAACAACGTCGTTTTGCTTGTTGAAGTTAAATGTTTTCAATTTTTTTGCAAAATCAGGTCTCGAACCCACGACCTTTCACTCGTTTATACAACTTTTTACCCAACTTTCAATTGGTGGTTCTGGTTGCGACTATGTCATGTACTTACTTTCGGTTCCAGACTTTTCAAATTAACTGGAAGAAAAATAAGTGTGCTATGATCCATTGTTACTGAGTTAAATGTTTATTTTCTTTTATGTGTTATTCTTGTTTTACTTTTCGAACTCTATAAACATAGTGGGATAACTTCATATGAGTTGAATCTGGTTCAAAGAAAGTGAAAAACAATATTTATGCATACAAATAGGTTTTTTTTTTCTTTCTTTCTATGTTGATATTATTGTTTCGGCGGATCTATGGATTACTATGAGATTACTATGGGACTATTTTCAATGCAATATTCAATTCTATCTTTCAACAAAAAAGCTATAAAATTTTATCTTTGTCAAAAACTATTAAATGTAGTTGTGTGGAATTAGTAATTGTTTTAAATATTTACAAACTATTCCTATTTATCAATTGGAAAAGATTTATTCAATTTATTGTAGTTAAAATGGCATTGTGAAATAATGTAATAATCAAACATTATTATTAGAGAATATGCTATATGTAGCAAAAATTAATAAAAAAACTGAACATCTTATAATGTATATCTTTCTTATCTTATCATCAAACAATTTAATCTTTATTTTTTTGTGTTAAATTATGTGAACACAATTAAAAAATGTATATTGTCTATCTATTATACAAAAATTAAATGATGAAATAACACATGTCGAAAAGATAGAATACCAATTGAGAAAACTTTATTTTGTTATATAAAATATGGCTTGTTGACTTGGACTTCTATAAAATCTGTGAAACTAAAGTAAGTTCCCTGTAAGAATCCACAAGTCATATATTTGTCTTTGTCTGCTTGGAAGCTTGCTCATAAGAAACATCAATCTCTTGTAAATTGCTGGAATTACTTTCCTCCAACAAAAGCTTGGTTACATGTAAGAGTTTTCATACAAAATCATTATTATTATTTTATTTTGTTGTCTAAACTTTTCGAGAATTCAGAATTAATCAAAAGTTTATTATTCTTTCTTATAGTCGTAAGGGGCCACTTTAAAAATTCGCTATCTACGAATTTTGTCCTACATATTTTTTGTCCACAATTTGCAAGGTTATTTGGGCTACAATTTTCAGTTTTTTTTTTTTTTTTTTTTTTTTTTTTTTTTTTTTTAAAATTCCAAAATATATTTTTATTGTAGAATAATTGATAGATTGGAGAAAAAATTATTCATGGTAAAATATTAAGCATGTCTCTCATTTTTTTTTTCATGCCTCTCATTTGTTTACTTTGTATTGTCATAATGCATGTTTTGAAATATCAAGATTTCCTCCGAGTTTGTTACCAAGAATTATTAGACGAAGTGATAAAAGCTTGGAAGTGAGATTTTGATATAAAATCAAATTCATTTATTCTTCTTTGTTTGACCGTCAAATCTTCTCTTCCTCTTGTTTAAGCTTTCATGTAAATTCAAGAATCTACGTATAAAATGTTTCCAACCATCTTTTCTAATTTTGTTCTCTTTCGTATGTATGTAGTTGTAACGTGATGGAGAAGTCAGGAGAAACTCCAAAATGGGAAACCCTCGACAGAAACATACTTTCAGTTATCTTCAATAAGCTCGACGCAATGGACCTTATCATGGGAGCTTCACGCGTCTGCATCTCTTGGTTCGTTGCCTCTCACGACAAATCTCTGTGGCAAACCGTCGACCTCGCCAAGGTCCAACAAGTTGTCGTGTCTTACAGCCCAGAGTCCAGGGATAAAGTACGACCAGTCGTCTTCTACAATCACCGGGTGGACGACGATGAAATAGAAAGAGGCCTAAGCTTTAGGAATGTTTTGGTTAACTTTTATCAATGTCTACATGGTGAAGTGGAGAAAGGTAGGAGTCTCAGGGAAGTATTGATTGAGATCACAAAGTTGAGCGACACGGCCCCGAAGAATTTGTTCTTCAACTCTCATTCTTATATAAAAGAGAAAGATCTCATGTTCGCTGCTCAAAGGCAAATCTCATATTTACAACTGAATCATAAAGACAGGCACACATCTTGCTTCCCAAGTTATCTCCAATATATCTCATAACTCTTTTTGTTTTTGTTTATGTTTTCCTAGGATGCCAAACATCGAGAAACTTGTTTTACCGCGTTGGTGCTATCACAACAAGAAGTCATTTCGTTTTGCGTTCAGTCGATGGAAGAATCTTAAAACACTGATCATTGCTCATGATCACAATCTCAATGGGGGATTCGAGTTTCAAGCCGTGGGAGAGAACTGCATTAACCTCACCAACTTGAAATATTTGGGTTATTTGCATGAATACAATGCTGAGCAAATCGTGCGGTGCTTCCAGAAGCTCAAGAGGTTGAGTTTGCGTTGCTCTTTCCTCTGCGTTAGAGGAGTTTTATCGCTAATCACCGGCCTCCAAAACCACGTCATCCTTAATCTGACACACTGTGTATTCCATGACGTTGCTCTGCTTCGTCAAAATGTACCTGCTATCGGCCCAGTACCTAGTGACGATCTTGTACAAGCAGCTACTCAGAAGCTTGACAAACTTATCAAATGTTCACACGATTGCAGCTTCTGCAAAGCTTGGTGGGAGAGGCTTACATTAACATCTTTGGATAAGTCTCGCTGGCATCCTTATGACAAGGATTGGCGAAACGACGAGATAGAAGAATTTGTATTTTAAGGGCTTTGTCCATGTTTTGAGCAACTGATCGATTATGTTTTGAGGTTGAATTCTATCTTTGACATATTACGCTATAAAAAGCATTGCCATTTTAACCAAAAAGAGAAAAAAGAGGTTTGAAACTTTTGATGTTGTGAATTGAATTCTGCTTATTTTTATTTGTGCATTGAGTTTAAGACCACAAGACAAATAGTGTGCGAAGGAGAAAGATGAGTTGGGAAGGTATTTTTTGGACCGTGAAGAGTTTGTAGGACGAAACTGATCGTCTAAGATGTTTAAATCCTCCGTTGTGTTTGCTTGGGTAAGTTGGGTTCATCTCGTTTGTCAGCTACCGTAGTTGACTTGGGTTCTCTGATTTCCAGGCTGGTAAATTTGCAAATTTGGAGCTCATGAGCAACAAGATTAACACGTATTTTTTTTGATATTGGCTTAGAAATTAACATCAACATAAAGAAGCCTTAATATTTATGATTGATAGTTTGATATTCGTGAGAGTGTGAGCAAAATCTTCCCCGAGACTTAAATGGAGTACTATTTTGTTGTTAAGCCGGGGTATCCGCTCGTGTAGATCGACATCAGTGTTGTGTCGATCGACATGGATGACGTTTCCAAAAGGGCTGCGTTCAGTTGAGCAGTGAGCAGCGAGTTGCGCATTTGGATCATCGACAACTTGATCTTCTAGTATGACAATCCGGTGGTCATCAAGTCTCTGTCATGCCTCATTGTAGGCTTGACCATCATCATCTCTCAAAACTCCTTGTTCAAAATTTGATATTCAAACCAAATTCATATGCTTAGCAGCTCACATCAAATCCTAACCACCATATAATTCTCGGCAAGCATTCACAACATCCCAAATTCCAATATAAATTCTACAACTATGTCCAATAGCCCTCATCGCTAGATCTCATCAATTAAGCTAACTCAAAAACCTTCTAGACTCATTCCCGTACTATACCATGATAAATTAACCATTTTCACATACTTGATACTTTTTCTCTCCCCTAGACTTATTCTTTTATTATTCTTTTATGATTTTCACATACAACTTGGTACCATGATGTTCAAAAGCTCTCCGTCTCCTCTAAAGCTCCAAACAATGGTCGCCAATAGTGATACGGCTGATGTATTTCGAGTTGGTATGTACTCAAGAAATGCTCGATGAATGAAACCGGAGGCTCGATTTCTTCTTAGAATTATGTATTTAAACGTGATTTTCAATATATAATCAACTACAATTCCATTTTTTCTCAAAATAAAGTACAATTTCTATAAATTAATAGTGTCGGGACAGTGAAATTCTGTTAATTTATTGTTAAATAAATAATTATTAAATTATACACATTTTGGCTACTTTTGTAATCCTTAAAAAATTTCAATCTGAAAAGAAACTTTTTTTTTACTAGAAATCAATATCTCTTGTAAACCAAATACAAGTAAAAAAATAATTATTATCCCTAGAAAACAATACAAAAAGATTTCGATGTAGTAAAATATTATAAGCGAACTCTACCAGAGATTAATGCATATTTAGGAAAAACAAACAATACTAAAATCATATTTTATTAATTGTTTTTACATATATATTGATAATTTTATACAATTAATAATTTATGATACTAATTGGATCATATAATTACAAACGGGTTTCAACAAATTATAATTTTACTATTTTATCGAATTATGTTAAATATTACACCGACCCAAGTCGAGACTGAAAAAGTTATTAATTTATAATGATTATTAACTTATCGAGTATTAATTTATAGAAGTTTATTTCTACAAATTATTCACAAGTTAAACTTCAAGTTTCAATTGTGCTCACTTTTTATCTTCACCTAATCTATTTGAATGTTGTATAATTGCTAAATCATGTTCACAATCACCGTAAATCTACTATCTTAGATTTAACTTTAGTGAAATATGCATATAGACAATACAAGATTTTAAGTTGATTTTCAATATTTAAATTTGTCATGTTGTATTGTAAATTTTTTTTTTTTTGCGAGTTGAATAATTTATTTTAAAAGATACAAAACATTATTAATAAACTCGCATCCAGCCTTCATTACTCTAAGCACGGCTCTTCAAGAGTCTATCGTATCTATCCCACTTGATCGAATTCATCACCTTGTCTCTATCTTCTTTTAGATCTCTAATCAAAGCTTCATATAGGTATTTTTTGTAAGAAACTCATCCTGTAAGCATTTAAAAGATGTTGGATCAGCGAACCGTCGATAGATAGAAGAAAATGCGTAAATAGACTAGGGTTCAAGAACCGTTGGATCTTTCTTGCAGAAAAAGTAACCTTTGATTCTTCCCCAAATCCAGAGTCAAACAAAAGCTTTATAGAATCTCCAGCAGAGAAAACGAGAGGATGGGTATAGATAATCAATAATTTGATGAGAAGATATTAGGGTTTAGTGTTAATCATTCAGACTGTTCTTCTTCTCTCGAGTGACCATTTGAATTAGCTCAAATATATATATAAATATCAAATCTACTTTATGTACTGAAACTGAAAAAGAGAAAACAACTACAAGAATGCTTTTCTTTTTCTTCTTAATATGCATGGTCTCTCCATAGAAGACATGATTAAGTGTTAAATGTCTATATGAAATAAGGGCTAAATTCATTAGGTTACACACATTAATATTTACGTCGATGTATTTGTACATGTCAAGTTTTAACCCTTAATAAAGACCGCAAGTGCACTGTACAAACGCATTAGTATTTACTGATCGAATCAATATAGACAAAAAAAAAACACACAATAGACTATAGAGAATTAGATTTGGCTAGAACAAAATAGTATTTATAGGAACTCATGTAAAATTTCAGAAATAAAATAAAAAAAAAAGTAAATAGTAAATAAATTATATACAACGAATATTAAATCTAGAGAAATCAAGAGAGAGTTCATATAAACACAAGTAAATTTATTTATGGAAGCATTAAGATTTATTCTTGAATTTGAATTACTTAGGTTTAATTATCGTGTTCTCACACATTATAGTTAACTTTGAAAGATGTTTCCTAAGAACTAAACTATCGTTTATTTTAGGGAAATTATTACAAACTTTAAGATTCTAATTCAATAAAATCAAAAAAACACAATAACATCATCTTTTGGTTGGTTAAAGAAGCTTTGTCTATCTAATAATAAGATCCATCGATTCAACACCACTTCTGATGGCTTGATGAATTCGATTATATACAATAGTTAAATTAGCATAATTCTTATTAAGAATAGTCAAAGATGGAGAACTAGAAGAACAATCTATAAATTAAATAATTTAAGCAAATTTTAACAAACATCCCTTTGAAATCTCTAAATTCAATGATTGGACTACTCACGGACCAAAGTACATGTGATCATTGTAGCAGAAGGGATCAAGAGTTTGAATAGAGATTATGAAAGGATTTTAAAAATCTTTTAAACAAAATAATGAAAAGAAAAACAACCTGAGAAACAGAAAAAGTTGCAAAAAGGCATGTCTTTGTGGGTACAAAGTGTTAGTATTTATAGTCAAATAGACGAAGCCCTAGACCTAAGAAAAAAGAAATTTTACAAAACCAAACCGATCGGTTCTGGGAGACTTATGTACCGACTGGTACAATTGATTAACCGGTCGGTCTTGATTTTCAATTTTTTCTTCACTAGATGCATTTTGCTCCATATCCGCTTCTACACTCGCCGTTTTACCCAAACAGGTGCAGAAACATGAAAACACTAAAAAACATCAAAAACTATATGCTCTCGACAAAAAGATATGAAAATAAAAAAACCTACAAAAAGTATTTAACTAAAATATGACTTAATAATATTATCTTACCAAATTCGTGAGTCCAAATATGAACCTACAAACACATTCAATATTAAATGGTTCAAGAAGAATCTTACCTAATTCACTATTCATGAAGTAGCTTCCGGGCTTCTAATAGTTTCGAATTATTTTGGATGTATGTAAGACATATCAAATACTCCCCTCGTTTCGTTTTACTTGTCGTTTTAGAGTTAAAATTTTGTTTCATAATAGTTGTCGTTTTAGGTTTTCGATGTAAATGTTTTATAAAAATTCCAGTTTTATCCCTACTGTTTTAATGGTTCGGCCAATGAATTTTTTTATAAAATATATTAATAAAGGGTAAAACAGAAAATTTAATGTTTTTCTTAATTTGTGTGAGAAAACTTTAAACGACAACTAAAACGAAACGGAGAGAGTATAATTTAATTAAAATGGTAAAATGAACTTACTACGACTATGACAGGGAATGGAAGGTAAGTCCCGTGCCCATTTATTTTGAAACTTACTCAAAAGTTATATTTCTTCCATCTGGTTACGAGGAAATCATATTAAAGTTGTATATCACAAATAGAGAAATATTTGAAGAGATCACGCCTCTTGTTAATTTACTGTATCAAGTTATTTTTACATAGTTTTGTGCATGCAACGCCAAATCACAAGACTATAAACGTTTCACTAGTTGATAGCCAAATGAAGTATTAAAAAATCCAAGGGTCTAAATGGTGACACTTAACTTGAGGAATTGTTGAAGAAAAGTTGTGGAATTGTTTTTTGTCATATCATTTACCAAATGAAAAATTGAGGAAAAAATGAAGAAAACTTGAGAAAAACTTGAGGAAAACTTGAGGAATATTAGTCACAGCATTTAGTTATATAGTATTTTAAAAGTTTTTTCAATGTTGTTATTATTGTTATGAGCAAGGTTAGCAAAAGCGTTGAATCCTTTCTTCGCCTTCAGTTTGTGCTCTTACCATTGCCAGCGAACGGCTTCGTTTTAATTTTGGCCAATCCACAGTACCAACTACATCCGAAATGGAACGATTGGCCAAATGGTTGACATAGCCTCCGATAAACATGACTTGATCATGTTCATCGAAGGCCATGCCATTGACCATCTTGGTCTTCGAATCATTTTTTTTTATTCACGAATGATGGACAAAAGAGGTTCTGAGATCATTTCTAAATCCACTGTTTGATTCTGAGAACACAACCATTAGTACAGAAGAAGTTATTAAAAAAAAAACATAAAACAGGGTAAATTACAGAGTAAAGATATAGAGGGTTAAAGACTAAGATTTCACCCATCATCACCTCCTTCGAGAAGGTCTTCACATATCTTGAGATACTCCATTGGGAAATTGAAAGCTTTTCCATTTTCACCTGCCAACCTCAAGCAATGCCAATAAGAGTGATGAATTGCTAAATGGTGTGTACTCAAGAAATGAACGACGAATGGAACCTCTTGAGGAACCTTTATTCCTTCTTTATCCTTGATCTCTACTGTCATGTCTTCTGCGCTTTGTGGACTTATCCCGATCATTATGTAGTGTTAAAATGTAATCTGGTGAAGTCTGTCCAAGTCTGTGAAGTGCAAGTTTGGTTAATATATTTGTATTTTCTTGTGCATTTTAGATCTAAGTGAATATACATATTATTTATATGTTTCATTCTCTCGAATCTATTTTCTCTTCCGCTTATACTTTTCTACATGTAGGTGTCCCTCTTGCCTCCAAAACTCAAATGGCAAGTTGAACATGAGCTTCTTGTAACGTATACAAGACAGACGTTCAACACCATCTTGTTTAATAGAATTGATGACCTTTTCTTTGTATAAATCTCTAGTGGATGGCTCAAGATACTTAATTATTGATAGGGAATTATATCCAACATATACTCTCAATCCCCTATGAGATTGCATCTTAGATCGCCGTGGTGGAGCAACTATAACATATACATCACATCCAAAAACTTTGAGATGAGAAATATTTGGTTTCTGATCCATAACCAATTGTGATGTAGAAAACTTATGATTACTCGTTGGCATGATGCGAATCAATATTGCTGCATATAATATCAAATATCCCCTAGCAAATATTGGGAGTTATTATTTCATTAGTAATGGTCTAGCAATCAACTAAAGACGTATGATTAGTGATTATGCTAAGTCATTTTGTGTGTGAACATGTGCTAAAGGATGTTCAACACTTATCCCAATGGACATGAAATAGTCATTAGAAGCTTGAGATGTGAATTCGTTAGCATTATCAAGACAACTTGTCTTTAAAGAAAAATCTGGAAAATGTGCTCATAGTCTAATTGAGCAAGTAATCTTGCAAACACCATGTTTTGTGTTGATAACAAGGATACATTCGAATATTTACTAGATGCGTCAATTAAAACCATAAAGTAACTAAAGGTTCCACATGATGGGTAAATCGGCCCACAAAATCTCCTTATATAATGCATCAACAAATTTTAATTGTGTACATAGGCAATGATATTATTTGCTCTTTCAAAGTCTTCAATTACCTTTGCACTATCAGCTGCTACGGTGCATACATTTTTTTTTATTCATTGTCAAAGAAGAGAAATATCTCTTATTTTAAAAAATTAGTTGCATTGTCTGTCAAGCATAAATCTCCATAATTCATTGTTTTTTAGCTCAGATGACTAGGATTTTGTGATGATAGTGTGTTGTGGATAGTGAAAAGAGATAGAAGATTTAATGTATTATTCCAATAAATAAAGGGGCTTTTGCAAAAATGCCCCTTTTTCAATGCCATTTTTCAAAAATGCTCCTTCTTTAAAACCTTATAAAAAATGTTCTTAAAAATATAAGATTTACCCAAATATGTATGTAACATTATTAAAACATACACAAACTACATTTCTATGTATCTAAAATCTTATAAATACTTTTTAAATATCTTATAAATATATTTTAAATACCTTTAAAATATTTTGTAAAACCTTTGAAAAACCTTAAAAATCCTTTAAAATAACTTGTAAAACCTTTAAAAACACTTTATAAAACATTATAAATACTTGGATCGAGTCTTCAAGTAGTAGTTACAATCCATAAGTACCTTATCAACCTAATAAAACTTTATAAAAATTTTAGATTAAAAAAAGGGCATTTTTGAAAATGAACATCTAAAAGGAGCATTTTTTAAAAGGGACACACCAAAAAGGGCATTTTTAACAATTTCCCATAAATAAAAGATCCTTTACATAATAATATAAAATAAAAGTTTTACTTGATAAAGTAAAATTTTACATACAAATAATTCTAGAAACTTCTAAAAGATGTACCATATAATGGATATCCATCTATTATTCATAACACAATCATAATTTTTCACTACATGTTGTGTTAAGTTGTCAATTTGTCACATTTCTATAAATAGAGTTTGTAATTTAACCAATATTTTTGAAAATGTTAAAATTATAATTATTCAAAATATAGCCAACATATACATAAATGATCATCTGTCTTTTTGAGCTTTTATCAATATTGTATAGAAAAAAGCAATTTGATTATACAAAAAAAACAAACATGATCCCTTATTATTATATAAAAGAATAATTATTAAATGAAAAAATTAAGTACAAGAAATGAAATAGGAAACATGCGATGATGTGACATGTTAATCAGGTAGAACCGTAGAACTTGCCATCTCATGGACTGTGTTTGACAAAGAAACCACGTGGTTGGTTCTTATTACTTACTTATGCAGTAAGTTGTAGAAACGCAACTTCAACGAAATACAGAACACAAAATGACTCACGAGTGCGTCAAAAGCAAGCAAACAGTTAATTTGGGTAAGTAATTCTTAAGCGTTTCCCCGTTTCTATTTTTGGCTAAATTCATCTTCTTCTGCGTTACTTAAGAATTTGTGAGATCTTGAAGATACAGGAGGAAGATTAAAGGCCACATCATGTCGATATCAGATGTGGCTTCTATATGGTTGGTGGTGCTTTTCTAGGAGCTCCAGTTTCTGAGATTTTAAAATTGGTAATCGAAGAGGCCAAGAAAGTGAAAGACTTCAAACCCTTATCTCAAGATCTTGCGTCCACGATGGAGAGATTGGTTCCGATATTCAAAGAAATTGACTCAATGCAACAAAGATGCAACGGTGAACTAATTGTTTTGATCAAGACGTTGGAAAGAGCTGAGAAGATGGTAAGCAAGTGTTCAGGGGTTAAGTGGTATAGTATCTCCAAGAAAGCTTTATATACAAGAGAAATCAAAGAAATCAATCAAGAATTTCTTAAGTTTTGTCAAATCGAATTACAACTCATTCAACACCGAAATCAGTTGCAATCGATGCAGTCAATGGCAAGCGTGACTATGAATATAGACCTATTGAAGGAATTTGCAACCAACTTTCCTCCGTGGTAACTAATTAATAAGCTTATTCTCCAACTTCGAAATGTTTTTTTTTGTTAAGTTATCTGATTAAGAACAATGCAACTTGAACCTGTAGCATATGTCATGGTTGCAACTCTGTGACTGAACATGGAAGACTTGAACCAAGTTCTTCTATCGACGAAGTTGAAAACCAGGCCCGGCCCACCCATAAAGCAGGCAAAGCCTTTGCTTTAGGCCACAAAATAAATTAAAATTTTTAGGGCCTCATTTATAAAACACTTCCTTAGGCTGGTGGTTATGTATTTAGTATACTAGGCTCAGGTGTTCTGTTCGAATCCCCTCTTATATAGGTTTTTTTTAAATGTTTTTTTACAGATTTACAGTTTTTATTTTTGTTTTATAACTTAGTTAAAAGTATTATAATAGTATTTAGATTTTTTTCACGAAGAATTCCGTCTACGATCATTGCATTTGTTGGGTAAAAAAAAAATTATATTATCTAACTATACTTTAGGCCACAAAAATCCTAGGTCCGGACCTCTTGAAAACCATGTACAAGATAACTCTGTTTACTCCTTGGCATGCTTTTTTTTTTTTTTTTTTTTTTTGATGCAAAATATTAATTCTTGATAACTCCTTAGGTATCAAACTCAAGAGCCAAGCTTCACATGGAGCACTGCTATGTCTGCAAAGATATTGTAAATGCTCATTCTGTTCTACGACATGAGAGTGTATTTAGGAAGAGATTAGTTAAGGAATTGGTCTGTTATGACATTTTCTTTCTTGTATTGTCTCCCAGATTATTTCAACTGCTCAACGTATAGAGTACAATGAGCATCCCTTCTGGTTGGAAAAATATTGTGCTTGTCATGATTTTGATGGTACTCCCAAGTGTTGCAGCTGTGAAAGATTAGAGGTAAATTTCTTTTTATAACAAGAAACTATCACGTACTATGAATACTGTAAAAGTTTTCTTGTGTCTTGCTAATACGTGCAGCCTAAAGAAACGAACTATGTGATTATTGGTGATGGTCGGTGGATATGTCTAGAATGTAATGAGTCTTCAATTAGGGATACTTATGAATGCCAACCTCTGCATTTTGAAATCCGTGAATTCTTTAAAGGCTTAAACATGGAGATTGAGAAACAGTTTCCTCTTGTTTTGGTTGAGAAACAAGCGCTGAATACAGCTGAGGAGGAAGATAAGATTGTACGTATATACCGTTAAACTTTTCGTCCTTGCAGGTTAAGTAAGTCAAGTCTCACAGTGTGTTTCTCCATATATGCAGGGCCATCATCACGAGGTGTCAACCAGGGGTTGTTGCTTTTCCGAAGAGGTGATCATAACGAGTGTAAGAGAGTCTTGTTATTATATTTATATACAGCATAACACTTTGATGATATAAACTTGCTTGGATTCATGACATTACTCTGGTCTACCTAGGTCTCAAGGATACCGAAGATGCAGTCAAACAATATGTTAATTGAAGAAATAGAAACTGTACGGCCCGTCGGTGAATCCAAGATCATTTCAGTTATGATCTTGTATGGACTTCCTAGGTACCATACTTCGTTACCATGCCCCTTCATATATTAATTGCGTGCATAAACTCTGACAAATCTTTCCTTATACTCACAGGTTAGTAACAGGATCAATCTTAGCCCATGAAATGATGCACGCATGGCTTAGAATCAACGGTACATAGTCCTTTTGGAAACCGTCTCTCTTTTTGTATTAGGACAAATTATCAAAACACATGATGCCTCAATGATGGTCACCATGAAACCTTGAGGTATCTGGAGATAATCAATCATTTTTTTTTGTCAATTTCTCTGCTTTGAAACAGGGTATAGGGACCTTGAGCCTGATGTTGAAGAAGGACTATGCCAAGTGGTGGCACATATGTGGCTGGAGAGTCAGACTTACGCCTCTACCAATGGTGCTGCGGCCTCATCATCGGCTTCTTCTTCTTCTCACATGCGGGTTAACACAACAAATGAACCTATGTTTGAGGAGAAACTAGTGGAGTTTTGCAAGAAGCATATAGAAAAAGATGATTCACCGCTCTACGGTCTTGGATTCAACAGAGTTCACGAGATGGTCACAAATTCAAGCCTCCATCAAACACTGAGAGGTTTTCCAAGCAGGAAGTTAAAGACGGAACGCCAGGTTCAAATCTTAGAATCAAACAGACGCACATTTTCCAATTTCAAAGGTTCATGAAGCCATTACTAAGTACCCCCTTCCTTTGGTGTTTGTTTTTTTTTTTTTTTTTTCTTTTTGTATTCACTGCTTTGTCTTATTTTCTTGGAAAAAAACACTATGTTCCTCTGTTTAAACTGCTGCTTCACTTCTCTTTAGTATGAGTGTGATAACTTCTCTTTCATATTAGCCATTTTGATTTTGATATTTTAGCTACATTGTTTGAACTTTAGAGACCACAAATTAATATTTCCTAAGCAAATGATAGTTTAACGACATAATTTATAATATAATTATTATATGGGTGAAACAAAATAGAATCAAAACAAAACACATTTCTAAGAAACAAAATGTAAAATCAAAAGAAACAAAAATCATTAATTTTTCGTAATTTTGTGGAAGCCCCTTGACCCATTGGTTGATCAAGGGTTCATTAATGCTTCTACACCAGAGGTCTGGGATTCGAATCCCAGATACTGCGATTTAATAATAAATTTGCAGATTATTGGAGGCAAGGGTGCTGGAGATCTTCAGCAATGTACAATTATAGCCGTTCGCCAGGATTCTACACAGAGAAAGAAGTGTCCATAAAAAAACCATGAAGAAGGAGGTGAAGGAGGTGAGCATGAAGAAGGAGGTGAAGGTGAAAGAAGTGTGGATCTAATAAGGGTCAGAAGAAATTGTCCGTTGTAGAATCGTCTATGTAACAGTTCTCATAATTTGCAATAAATAATAAATCGAGACGACAAAAAAAAAAAAAAAAAAAAAGTTATCAATAAGAACTTATGTATGTAATTAATTGATACTTTTTCTTATAAAATATCATTAGTTGCTTGGAAGTGGTTGATTGCAGGTTGACCATTTCTTCTAGATCAGTGACCAAAGAAATCATTTGTAGGAAGGCTTGGATCTTTCTAATCCTACACCGCTCCAAAATTATCACATGATTTAGCTAGTAACACTTGAAAATTTCTTTCAGACAACAGCACAAAGTATAACACAACACAATACAAAATTCATCAAAGAATATATAAGATTTTCTCATTATCTCGCTTGTCTCTTAGATTTGAAGACAAGCTTGTGTCAACTATTCATCAAAGAATATTGTATTTCTAATGACTTCCTTCTTCTTAATCTTTGAGCTGAGGCATGACCAATTGAAAGGAGGAATCGCATATGGTCCGTTGAGTAATCCATCAGCCATCGATTTGTGTGCAGCCTCAGTCATATGAAGGCCATCCCATGCCACATACTTTGAAGGATCATTACAAGATTCCACTCCTACACTCCCACAACTTCTACTGAAGTTAAAGTTGTACGGTCTTCCTACACCGCAACAAGCTGACAAGTGTCTATTTATGAATCCTGACAATATCATTGATTTAGAAACTCAGTCAACACCGAATCATTAATTTGGTTGTGAAGATTCAGTGGAGGAATCAAGAAGGCTAACCATATTTGGTTGGTTCTTGGCCAAGGCGCAACGAAGCATTGTAGTAGTCAGCATATATGATGTTGACATGAGGGTTGAGCTGCCTGAGTCTCTTGAGTTCTTCCTTAAGCTGCTCGCTGTGATATTCTCCAAACTTGTTTAGCCATATCAAACATCCTGTTAAAGGATCGTATTCTTCCACGTTTGATGTTTGGTATAATGTCAAAAATGCTACTGAGCATCCGAGAGGGAAGCCTCCGGGCACCAGAAATGTTCTTCCCCCCATACCAATCAACTCCTGGATTCAACAAAGTCCCAAAGAAACAAACACATTATAGTTTCTGACAAACTAATCACTCTGTTTTACTCGTTACTGTGACTAGCAGATCAAGAATCATATTAAAATGGTTACCGTAATCGCTGAAGAAATAGTACTAATCACCAACGGAACGAGCTCTTTGACCTCGTCTAAGGGTCTTAGTTCGAAGAATGGGAAATTATAATCGTTCGCTCCAATCTCTCCCATGAGAATCAAAGCATTTCCAATCATTTCTCTACAATCTAACAACAAATACAAGTGAGCTCAAACCTCTTGACAACAAATACATTATAATCACTCCACTAAAGTTGATATTGATCACTACCTGATGGTAAGCCACATATATTTGGTAAACTCTCCTTGAAGCTCTTTAGCTGAATTCCTAAACTAATATTGTGAGGACAATGGTATCCTCTCTCTTCTAGAAATGAACTCTCCAATGCCGTTGCTGAGGCTACAGCAAAATTAACTCCTTTCTCAAAGTTTCCATTTATAGATCCGAAGTAAGGAGGCACATAAGGAAGCCCCAAAAATTCAGCTGTAAAGAAAAAAATTTCTAGCATCCATCACTTGAGGTTTCACAATGTTAACTTGCAGTTCAAGAAAAAAGAGAAACAGAGAAACAGAGAAAGATTTTACATAATAAAACCCTAAGAATCAGTGAACAGAACCCAAAAAATATTAGAATGTACTCTTATATAAACTTCATCTAAAAAAGCTGCGCCAAAAGAGTCAATTTACATATAAAGAAAGAGAAGTACCGATGAAGTCAATAATGAGGCGGCCGTCGGAGAAACGACCGGTTGGGTGGTGGAAGAAAGTCTCTCCGTACGGTGGAAATGCGCTCATAGGAAGATTGTAACGATCCGAGAGACTGAGCAAGTTTCCGGTGTCGGCAATCGAATCGCCGAAACTGATGATCGACTCGAAATTCTGACACTGCGATTCCGAGCTACCGATAGTGACAAAAAGAGAAGATAAAAAGAGGCTAACTAGCTTCATCAACACATGAGAATCTAGCGAAGCCATGGGAGTGGTCCGGAGTGACTTTCTGTCTTTCTATCTTTCGTTTTTAATTTTATTCTATTATTTATTTTATATTATTATTGTTTTGGAAAAGTTATATATAAGTATAGAATGTACCATTGAGTGATCATGACTCAATGAGCCTTTCTTGTTGCCTTATAAATAAGGGTGGGACAAGGCAATTTATTTTCTATGGCCTACAAAACTTTGTATTTGTATCGTTTAAAACGAGCCTTTCTTGTTGCCTTACCCACCAAACCATGAGTGAATGGCGGGGTCCGAAAAAATTAGTCAATTTCTTATAACTTCCTATCAAAAATAAAAACCATGTTCAGTAAATTAAACAACTAACGATCATATTTCATATACTCCACTTGCTCTTTTAGCCTTTTTTTAAGCCACAATCATTGTTAAGTCGAGAGGAACAAATAGTATGAAGCCGACAAAAATTATAGTATCGAAAATTCAATAATTACCATTTGGTCCATTTACTTATATAAACAAGCATTCATTGAACGTTATATAATTTTAATACTCATCCGTTTTAAATTAATGTCGTTTATATAAAGGTTTTTGCACATAAATTAAGAAAACAATTAAATTTTTTACTTTTACCCTTGTTCAATATATTCTCTAATTTGTTTTATTAGCCAAAACATACAACAGTGCGGATAAAATTGGAAATTTTACCAAACATCTGCATTGAAAATCTAAAACGACAACTATTATGAAACAAAATTTAAGTGTTAAAACGATAATTAAACTGAAACGGGGGATTATTATTTAAACACAACCAAAACATTTTTTAGGAAGTGTAGAACCACGTTAGAGGTCTAAATGCTTATTATCTCACCAGTCAAATGATTGAAACATTTTGTTTTCCTAAAAATTAGAAATCTAATATGTTTTTCCCAATTATCAGAGAAAGATATTATAATTATAGCAATATTTTTCGGTTGATCTCAAACTCAACGCCGATGGGTAAATGATCACTCGGGTGACTTTTATTAGGTAAGAAATCGACTACGTCGGGTGAATCCAAGAGCTTCACAGGTGAAATGAAATCAGAAGGCGTGAAGAACACGTAATCGAGTGTTTCAGCAAATCCTGGCACATATTTTGTGAACTTTGGCTCTCCTTTCGTGAATCCATACGCACTGCATAGTCCAAATTCAGTTTCTTCTTCTTCGCCACCCAAAGGCCACATCACCGGTATATTGTCTGAATTTACGTATTCATATACCTGAAAAGAGTGTGAAGAAGAATAAAATCATGTTTCTTGGACAAGAATAAACAACAACAAAATCATGTTTCTTGAAGTTATACATCACTCGAGGGGTTCGAATTGAAATCACCAGCAAGGATGACCGATGGACTGCAATTTTCTACGGCCGAGATCGTCCTCTTGAACATGGCTAATTCAAACATTAGAGACTTGGCTTGAGCCAGCTTTACATCATCCCATTCATCAGATTTCCTGAGTGTAAAAATTTAAGAAAAATATATTAATAAATCAAAAAGTTAAATATGAACTCAGAAAGATCTAGCTAATGAATGTTAATTTTTTTACCCGGATTTTAAATGAGTGGTTGCAATAATAACGACATGATTAAACGGTTTTAAAATCTTGAAAGCTGCCAATATTCCGATGCAATCACATTTTAGTTTACTAACTGCATCGCCATGTATGGTACTCGCAACGCAACGCCTTTCAGCAAGATTGTTGTAGTCTACAATATTGTATGTAATCAACTCTGCACTGTTTAAAGGAAAAATGAACAAGGGACTTTGTTAGGCAAATTAGACTTAAACCCTAAGATCACAATCAACGTGTTAAAGTCTCTATGTATACAATTTGGGCTTGAAAAAGATTGCACAGCCGTCTCTTTTATAGCCTTCTCCTCTTGGAAAATAAATTCCAGTGTATCCATGAGCCTCCATGTTTCTATCAAAAAAACTAATGTATTCGTCTACTTCCTGCAAATGGATTGATTGATCGAGTAATTAATATTATCATGAATTTAGGCTTACAAGTCCCCCAATTATGTGTGATACGAGAGACAGAAACATAGAAAAAAAGAAACCTGTAGACAGATGAAATCAGCTTCAAAATTCTTTAAATTATCAAGAATCGCCTTCGAACGGTTATCCCACCTATGACAAAAAGATTAAAAACATAGGCTTGATTTTTTTTCTTTTGATAAACCATGAAATTTTTCAAAAATTTTAGTATGCGGAGGAACCTACAGGATACTATCTGGAGGAGAGTAACTATACATGGGAGACGACGCCTTCCACTACAAAAGCACAAGACCCTTGCGATTCAGAGCATGTCCATCGATATTCAAAAACATAACAGCAATTATATATGTATAAAAGGTTTTGATAATACGAAAATGAGGGAATAAAATAAATTACACGAGCAAGGATATTGTAAGAAACGACTCGAAATCTGTCTGCAAATAAATTCAACACAAACAAGGTCAATATTAGCCCATATGTATATGTCTTACATAGATATATCATATAATCACAACAAAATCTTATAATCCACACGTCCAACAAAATCAAAATAATTAAAAGAAAAGAAAGAGAACAAATATTGTACCGTTTTTACGATGTGGCTTGTGATTAGGGATTATATCAACCCACTTTTCGGATTTCTGAGGTTTTTGACATAACAAAGTCTTCCACATACTTATTGTGAGAAACTGGATCTAAATTGTATAGAGAGTAGTTAAGTAATTGAAGAAGAAGATGTTATTTGGATCTTATATCTATATATAGGAAAACGCGACTTGAGAAATCCATCAATTTATTTAAGATATCATTACTTTAGTATTTTGATTTATTTTAAAATGATGATATATATATTCAATGTCATCTTATTTTTCTAATAATTATTGACACATGCCTCTTTATGTAAAACTTGTTGGAAAAGTTAATTTATATCTCGCATGTTTTCCTAATTAATGTAATAAATATAATAATAGGTTGTTAGAACAAAATCTATATATAATAGCAATCTAATAAATACCATTTGCACACCTGAACGGTTGCGTCTTTTTATCGCAACTTTTCGTTTAAATCGGTTATTTTAGTTGCGTCTTTTTATCGTAATTTTCGTTTTAATTGGTTATTTTTTTACGGTTATGTCGTTTCCAATAAATACCATTTGTACATCTGAACGGTTGTGTCTTGTTATTGCACCCTTTCGTTTAAATATTTATGGTTGTTTTTATTACAGTTATTTTTGTACGGTCATGTTGTTTTATTGAATTTCTTTTTACGTAAACCAATAAACTACATATAAAATTGGTTTATTTCATAGTTTACATATGGATATATTTTTAATTTTTAAACTAAAATTTATATTTTACGGATATGTTTTTTAGAAAATTGCAATCCGAATATCTTCTGCGGTTGCTTCTTTTTATTGTACCTCTTTATAAACAGTTGCAACCTTTTATTAGAATTATTGCAATATATAGTTTATTTCACGAACAATTGCAACCTTTAGTTTATATCACAAACAATTGTAATCTTTGATTTAAATATTTAGTTTATTTCACGAACGATTGCAACCTTTGATTTATATATTTTGTTTTGTATTTCACGAACAATTGCAACCTTTGGTTTATTTTACAAATTGCTATAACATCTAATTATCTACCGTCGCGTCTCTCGGTATAATTTTCATAAATTAATATTTTTAATTTTTAATTACCAAAATGCATTCAAATGAGATTGTAATCGTTTAATTGAACCGTTGAAACATTTGGTTTATTTGACCAATCATTGCAATTTTTAGTTTTGTTTTACAAACCATTGTAATCTTTAGTTTATTTGACGAACTTGACGAACCGCTACAACTTTTGATATATCGCAACATTTCATTTATTTCTTTTTAGACTAAAAAAAATATTTTACGTTATGTGTTTTGAGAAAGTTGCAATCCGAGTAAATATTTTTTACGGTTGCATCTTTTTATCGTAATTTTTCATAAAATGATTGCAGCCGTTTAGTTGAACCATTGCAACATTTAGTTTATTTCACGAAAAATTGCAACTTTAAGTTTATTTTATAAATCGTTATAACATTTAATCATCTACCATCGTTATTATTAATTTTCTTTTGATATTTTTTTTAACGATTTTTGAAATATTTTCCCCCGCGATGTCGCGGGGGTCCGGAGTCCTAGTTATATTGATATTGACCTCTTTCTAATTAATGTAATCCATGAAGACGAGTTTGTAGATGTTAAGATCAATGAATTTGAAATGAGTAGAGTGGTTGAACTGAATTTGTTTTCTTGGACTCACTTGACGATGGGATATTCGTGTCTCAAAGCTCATACACCAAGAGTCTTGTGAGAAGGTTTTAAGTACATTCCAAGATATATCATTTTCATTACAGTAAAACCGTTAAAAGATGAAGTAGATCAGAAACTTGATGAGAAATTGTTTCAGACAGTAACCCACAAAAAAAAAGCTGCCCCACCTAACTAATGCAATGAAACCGGTAACAACCGTATCCACAAAAAATATATACACACAAAAATAATAAATATTAGAATAATGCATGGGGGCAAAGACATTTCGCCGAAGACTACGAAATGATCCAAAACTTAAAGACCCTTAAGAGACTACTAAGTCGTCGTCGATAGCTTCAACCTTTCTTCTCTTATCTCTCCAATATTTTATTCTTATTCTCTACCATATATCCTCACCTCTCTATTCTATATAAATGCATAAACTTGAGTCACACTGATAAGTAAATTAAGAAGGAATATTAGTTAAATCTTCTGTAGTCTCTTCCATGTTTCTCTTTCTCCTTCTTCTTCTTGTATTTCCACATATAGATAATGTCCTTGGCGCACGAATGGAACTCCGTGAACTTGGTGAGTATTTTTTATTTTGTCTTTAAATATTCGTAAGTTATTACCATTTTACTTTATCAGTTAGGTTTATTAGGGGTGTTGAGTTATATAAAAATGTTACTAAAATGACAAAACTGTTTTAAGTAATATGTATGTGTAAACCGTTTGATTGGTACTTGTGCAGAGGAGATAAACCATGCGGATCCAGTGACGGTCCAAAAGGGCATTCCAATTCCACGGTGGGGGCGAGTTCGTGTGCCTAAGATTAAGAACTGCCCAAAAATCTTCCCTGCATGTAGACCTCCTCCGCCCCCAAAAAGGTTTTCCTAAGGAACACACGTACCTAGTCACTGATGTCACTATAGCTTGGAATGCGTCAATAAAGATATGCTGATATATATATGCATGTTAATGTGTTTTCTTACGTTGTGGTTTCGTAACTTTCGTTTGCGATGTATGTGGCTCTTTATCTATTATATGCATGTGTTTGTCATATTTGCGATGTATGTGGGTGCCTCTTTATCTATTATATGCATGTGTTTAACATATTCTACAGATTTAGCGAATGCAAATACATACATATTCTGTCAAGTATCAAGATTGGGAAGTAGTCCAAAACAATTATACAAAATTGGAAGTAGAGATTAAACAAGTTAAATGCTATGATGCCATGGGAGGTTGAACGAGGAAATTAAAATAAATGGAATCATATATATAAAAGTTGGCTAACTCTTTCCATATGAATGCCACATCATCACATAAGAAAATGACATGTGTCATTCGACATTATTTAAATAAAAAAATTAGCAAAATTAATTGAGAGAAAATCAAAAGTCTTTTGTTATGTTAAATTTTTCATTAATCTCACTCTTAATTGATTTTTTAAAAAACTAAAAAATAAAGTAAAAGATCATACTATTGTAATAAGCACTATTTTCATTCTACTCTTCTTATATTACTAAATTTTTTATCGATGGTCATTACACGATAATAGCTAAAAAATTACTTTTGTTGTAGTTTATATATTTGCTACCTAACTTCATGTTATGTTTTCTGGCATTCTCTCTTTTTATTTTTATGCGTTATGATAAGTCGGTAACATTGACACACAATTTTTTTCACTTAAGGGTCCTTTGAGACGTTAGACATACCAAGAAATTTAAAACACGAGACTCTCTCTTATACAGTTGTATGCAAGAAGAGAGATCTAAAGTGTTGACTTAATTTACTAGCATATTATGATGTGGTTGGCGTACTAGATGACGAGAGATTGAATGGAACAAATAATTGTTTGTTTAGAATTAAGTTATGCAAGTTTCAAACCACATAAGTAACATAATCACATATCATTGTATCAATATATCATATATTATTGTTGTATGTATTCATGATAATGAATGATTAGGATCGTAGGTATATAAATAATCAGGTTTATATTTTAAAAACGTAGAATTAATATTTCGAGTCAAAGATGAATCTAATCATAAAAATTATAACTATAGAAAATAGATTTGACTTTATCAATTACATAATAACACACAAAATAACATGTAACAAAAAACATAATCATATTTTTCTGCAATTTTTAACACAAATACCCACGCTACGCGTGGGTATTCATCTAGTTCTAGTAAAATATGTAGTTTTAAGAGTATAATTTGAGAAATGAAAACTTTTAATGTTAATGAAGATATTAGAGGAAACATTTACTCTATAAAAAAAATTAATATATCCGAACCTAGACTCTCGTCTACCGAAAAAAAAAAAATTCGTTTCCTAAGCTAAAAAAACACTGGTTTACTGAGCTAAAAAAAATAATTGTTTATCGAGTTAAACAAAAATTGCTCGATTACTATTCTAAAAATAAGGAAAACATTTATTTACCGAGTTAGAAAAAAAAGAAGACGTTTATATACCGAGATGGAAAGAGAAAAAGAGAAATCTAAGTACTGAGCTAAAAACAAAAGAAGATGGTCGAATTCACATTTACCATGAGTTCTAATTTATGAAGATTTTTCTTTGATTTTCTAAAAGCCTCCCTAATCTGAGTTCGAAACTGATTAAAATGGCCGGAACTATAGCAACAACATCCCATAACATAAAGCCTCGAAACATTGTGTGTGAATATATATGTGAGAGGGTACGGTGTCATAAGAGAAAACATCATGTTATTACCGCGTTGTTCATGTGATCATCTCCTTGTCATCACTGCTCCAAGGTCTCTTGTGTCGCCGTGACACATCCAAAGTTTTTGGTGTCCCATGCATCCACTGGGATAGTAGAAGATTTCCCTTGCTATATAATTTTTGTTAATCAATTCTTAGGATTGGGTTTCTGTCCTTATGTATGAACTCTTCCTCTCTATACTATTGTTTAATTAATACAAGACATGACCATGCATCCTAAAAACTAAGTTGTTTCTAATGGATGTGAAAAGGTTATTCTTGAATGGATTCCTCCATGAAGACGTGTTTGTATATGTAAAGATCAATATTAGCCAAGAGAGAAGATGAGAAAGTTTGTTATAGATTCGATTTCTCATTAGAACGCTGAAAATAGTTGTACAGAGAGTATTTTTACTAAGCTACAATTGTGGTTAACATAACCAAATGACTAAACCGGAATAAACCAACATAATCTCCAATAATCAATGAATTTAAAAACAAAAAAAAAAAAAGAAACAGATCAATGAATTTGAAATTAGTATAGTGGGTTGAACTGAATTTTTTCTTGGACTCACTTGAGGATGGGATATTCGAGTCTCAAAGCTCATAAGCCAAGAGTCTTCTGACAAGGTTTTAAGTACAATTTAAGATATATCATTTCCAAAACACCCATGATCATTACAGTAAAACCAAGATTTTATTCTTATTCTCTACCATATATCTTCACCTCTCGATTCTATATAAATGCATAAATTTGAGTCATACTGATAAGTAAATTAAGAAGGAATATTAGTGAAGATGGCATCGTCTTCTGTAGTCTCCTCCATGTTTCTCTTTCTCCTTCTTCTTCTTGTATTTCCACATATAGATAATGTCCTTGGCGCACGAATGGAACTCCGTGAACTTGGTGAGCATTTTTTATTTTGTCTTTAAATATTCGTAAGTTATTCCCATTTTACTTTATCAGTTAGGTTTATTAGGGGTGTTGAGTTATATAAAAATGTTACTAAAATGACAAAACTGTTTTAAGTAATATGTATGTGTAAACCGTTTGATTGGTACTTGTGCAGAGGAGATAAACCATACGGATCCAGTGACGGTCCAAAAGCGCTCGATTACTTTTTTACCGCGGCCTCGGCCTCGGCCCATTACTTTACCACCTGGGTTTCCACGGCCCTGGGCGCCCACCGTTCCCACTGTTTCGCCTGGAAGAAGGTGCCGTCACTGTAGGCCTCCTCCTCCCCCAAAGGCTTTCCCAAGGAGCACACCTAGTCACTGATCTCACTATAGCTACGAATATTAATGCGTCAATAAATGTATGCACGTTGATCTGTTTGAAGTTACTGTGTGGTAGCTAGATCTATGCGTTTGTACGATGGGAGAGTGCAGCGAATGTAAAGAGCATAAAGTAAAGATGACGCAGAGATTTGTTAACGGGGTTCGGTTAACAACCTACATCCTCGGGACCTAGTCCAGAAATCATTCCACTAGAACAAGATTGCATATGATATTACAGCATAACTATGCCTACCATTCTTTTCTAGATGGACTTTGGAAACAGTACCAAGCCACGCATGTCTTGACTACCACCCTGCAGCACCGGTGCATCACCGTCTTCTCTAACGGCTGCAGAATCCAAAGGAATACCACCAACAGATCTTCATCTGAATTCGTGGGGCGACGCCACACACGCATGTGTGTCTCTTTCTCAAATATACCATAGACGCGCAACCTCTCTTTGTCACGGCAGCCATCTATATATACTCACACTACAAGAAAACATGGATTTAGCGACTACAAGAAACGTAACTAAAGAGTCGCTAAACACATAATAACCACTAATTAGCGACTAATAAACGTTGTCGCCGAACACTGCGTCGCTAAAATAAATTGTAGCCTAATAGTCGCTAAATAGCGACTATTCTGCGATAACTATTTGAAGTCGCCTGTGCGTCGCGTATGAGTCGCTAAAGTGGCGACGGTTCTGCTACTAATATGTCACTATTTGGCGACTGGTTTGGCGACTAATAGGTGACTGTGGAATCGCCAAAAAGACACTACAAGGCGACTGTTTTATGAATGTTTTAGTGACTGAATGGCTATCGTTTTGCGACTTATTGGAAGTTTATTTTTGGATTTTGCCTACTTATTTTGATTCCAATTACGTTTGCATTTACTAATTAAAACCAAACATACAAAACATACAAGTTCACAAGACCAAAACATACAAGTTCTTAATAAACATAAAAACATACAAGTTCACAAGACCAAAAGTACAAGTCCAAAATATCAAGTTCACAAGACATAAATACAAACATACTTGTACCATAAGTACAAGACCAAAAGATCAAGTTCAAGTTTTTGAGTTAAGAGGAGAGAAAGCTAAGTAGCAGGAGTAGTACCATCAGCATTAGCAGCAGGAGTTGGATTTGGTTGGACCTCTGAATGATCATCCGCAGCAGGAGTTGATTGGGAATTGAGGAAGGCCAGGAAATTAGGGTCAGTTTCACTCAGGTACTTCTTCACCATCGACAAATGCTTGATCTCAGCTGCTTGTGATGCTGCGACCCGCAATGCCTCTGCTTCACGTGCTGCTTGTAGAGCTGCTTGTTCCTCTATCTTGCGGTTAGCATCCTCAAGCTGTGACTGCAGGGTTGTGAAAGAAGAACTGCTTCCTGCGTACTTGCGCTTCCCGTTGATGTAAACCCCTAAGCTGCCAATTCCAAAGTAATCTCCTCTATCATTTGTGACAGTAGACTGCAAAACAAAGTAAAAACATTAGTGCTTAACAGATAAAAGTAGACTACAGAGCAAAAGATAAGACTACTACCTGAAGAAATATCTCATCATCCTCCTCCTGAGACAGCTCAGACTGACGCGAATTACCATCATCCTGTTCATCATTCTCTTGCAGGGCAGCCAACTTAGCTGCCTTGTTCTTGAGATATGCCTGATGGATTTCCTGCGCCATCCTATCCACAAATGTCCCATCCTTCTTGGTATGAGTTCTGATGAACACTTCTCCAATAGTAGGAGGTCTTCCCAATTCAACTTCCTGAAATATAGTAACAGAGATGTCAGCGAGTAATAAACAAAACAAGTATTTAAAACAGACATGTAACTTACCATCTCTTGCTCCACTTGTAAAAAGGACTTTGGACCAGAAATATGCTTGCGAGGACCAAGACCATTACGGTCAGACATCCTAGCTGCTGATGTGGTTGAACTCTTGGCTTGGGCTTCTTCAGTATCCCAATACTTACACATCTCTCTCCACAGAGTTTTCTCAATCCAATACGGCCTCACTCTTGGGCTTTTTGACCCTGCCTTACTAACCATGTCTTTCATACGCAGTGCAATGATCTTGTAGAACTTGGCTTCAACCACACCTGTAACTGAGGGATGCCAGGTGTGTGTTTTCTACCAAAACAAGAGGACAGTGAAGCAGATGTTAGTTATCAAAATACAATATGAAAATACAGTAGTAGAAGAGGGATAGAAGCTTACAGCGAATTCAAGAAAGTATCTTTCTCTTCTTCCAATTGGCACACAACTCCAATTGTAGTATGGTCCATCAAACTTGTTAGTAAAACACTTGGTGACCTTCCGGGTCAGCTTACCCTTATCCTTACCAAACCTACAATCAAATAAACAAACTTACAATCTATACACAAGAATACAAACAGAAGAATACAACACAAGAATACAAACTATACCTAAACAAACTTACAATCTATACACAAGAATACAAACAGACCTAAACCTCTTCACAAACTATACCTAAACAGAACCATACCTAAACCCTAAACAAGAACCAGAACCATACCTAAACCCTAAACAAGAACCAGAACCTATACACAAACAGACCTAAACCATACCTAAACCTATACACAAACCATACCTTAACACAAACAGACCTAAACCATACCTAATCCTATACACAATTCTAGACAATCCTATACACAATTCTATACAAACAATCCTATAAACATTCAAAATCCTTACCATGTCGTCCCAGGCTCTAAAGTCGGAGAGATGAGAGTAGTATAGAGCTCACGGCCTGGGATGAGAAGCGTATCATGTAAAGTCGCGAGGACATCTTCTGGAAGTGTTGAATCCCTCAAACCTTCATCCTCCGATGTAGTTTCATCATCAGCTTCTTCATCCGATGCAGCTTCTTCTTCTTCAACGTTCTGAGCTTGAGAACTGTGACCAGACAGAGAGGCTCTTGGTGGTCGTTGTTGATTAACCACTGGAGAAGGAACCGGCGCTGGAGGCTGAACTGGAGCTGGAGACTGAGAGGCACGGGGAGATCCGGATGCTAAACGATGAACAGAGGAGACAGATGCTCGAAACGGAGTCGTTCCAGAGCCCCGAGGAGATCCACCAGCTGCATGCTGAGATCCTTCGCCCGACTGGAAAAGCTGCAGCGGAGGTGGATAGTCTCTTAGACTCAGTTGCGGTGAAGGCTGACGATTCGGCGGATGCTCAGTCCCATGATTTGGATCTTCAGGGTTCGCCGGCGTGAACTCATACTGCGACAGAAGGCTCCTTGGTCTTCGACTCGACACACCGGAAGATGTGGGTCGAGTAGGGACGACAGTGGGTCGCTTCACCGGAGACTTCGGTCCCCTCTTCCCTCTTCCGCTTCCTCTTCCACCACGAACATGAGGAGCCATCGATTAGACCTAAAAGAAGGGAATTTATACTATGGGCCAACGCAGTAAATCTAATGGACCGAGACCAATTAAAAGGCCCAATTAGAAATTATAGTCGCTATAAAGTAGCTAATTAGTAGCCCAGTTTGTAGACTAAATATTTAGAAGCTACTTAGTCGCCTAATTTGGCTACTATACAACGACTATTGTTATCCGTCGCCAAATGCAGACGGATTAGCGACTAATGTTGTTTAGGCAACATTCAGTCGCCTAAATGTCGCAATTCAGTCCTCAAATTCAGCGACTAATTTATCAGTCGCTGAATAACGTCGCTAATGACGTGTTTTCTTGTAGTATATATCAAGACAAAACCCTAAGTTCCAAATATTCTCGCAATCTTTTTTCCTTGATTCGAAAGTATCCGAGCCACCACTAAAGGAAACATCACGTCTCCAATAGAATCACGCCACGTCATATTCATTCCCAACTTTATTCTTCCTGCGTTCAGTTCTCCTGTTGTGTTACACAACTGCTGCCTGTGGAACACAACTCTTATACTTTCTGTTGATACTCTTGCGTCACACAGATGTTTCAATACCTCTGTTGTTGTCTGCATAAAACTCTTGTGTCACACAGACGTCCTGTTATCATATCACCTCTTGAGCTGTGCCATCATCTTGAGTCTAACAACCAGTTACAAACATACCTTCACTGTTTTCTTACGTTGTGGTTTAGTTTGCGATGCACGTAGCTCTTTATTTATTATTATATGCATGTGTTTTTCATATTTGCGATGTATGTGGGTGGCTATTTATCTATTATATGCATAATGCATGTGTTTGTCATATTTGCGATGTATGTGGCTCTTTATTTATTATATGCATGTGTTTGTCATATTTGCGATTGACGTGGTTCTTTTATTTATTATATGCATGTGTTTCTATCATATTCAACAGATTTCTCGAATGCAAATACATACATATTCTATCAAATATCTAGACTGGAAGAAGTCCAAAACAATTATAAAAAATTTGAGTAGAGATCAAACGAGTTAAATGCTATGGGAGAACGGCCTATTCCCCCCTGAACTATGTTGCTTTATCGCTTACATACACAAAACTTTAGTCTGTGCCTAAACCATCATGAACTTCAATATAATTTGAATTTTCAACACAAACTTTAAAAATCCGGTGGAAACCCTCAAATTGCTAGACGGTGTTACTGTTCCGTTAACGGATGCTGACGAGGACGACACGTGAGCGTTTAAAACGACTGCGTTTTGTCATACGTGGACTCTCATTAGACACAGAGACAAAACGGCGTCGTTTTGATTTGAGCAAAACGACGTCGTTTTGTAATTTGGGGCTTTTAGTCGACTTAGGGTTCATCTTCTTCCCTTTCTCGAGCCAAAATCAGAAATTGAGAGGAAAGACAAAGTGAGACGAAGATGGGTGATAAAGGAAGAGGGATTCCAAGTCGATGTAGATGTGGAGAGGATGTAGTTTTGAGGACATCAAAGACTATTAAAAATCCAGGGAGGCTCTTTTATGCTTGTCGATATGGAGAGGAGGTAATGCTATTGTAGTGTAAGTGAGCTTAAATTATAAGAAATGTCTGAATTGTGTTTTTGTATGTTGCAGAATGGTCGTGGTCACTTGTTTAAGTGGACAGATGAAACAATGGTTGAAGAGATGGAAGACATAATTCCAAAGATTGATGAACTTGAAAGAGCTTCCTTGACATTACAAAAAGGTTTACAAGCTTTAGAATCTGAGATGGAAACTCTTGCAATGGAGACTCGTTCATGTGAAGCTGTTGTATGCGGTTTTGAGAAGGAGCTGCGGGGTTTAGAGAAGGAGATTCAAGGCTGCAAGATGGAATTGCGTGGTTTGAAGAACATTCTTGTGTGTGTAGTGTTGATGGTTCTTGTTTATGTGTTTGTGTGTTAGTGATTATGATTCTGGTTCTTCTTTATGTGTTAGTGATTATGATTCTGGTTCTTCTTTATGTGTTAGTCAGACATTGTTTTATGTAATGGAAAATTATGCACTAACAATGCTCAAAAGAAATTGACTTAACCATAATTTGAAAACAGGATTATCATTTGGTTACAAAAACCTTAATCCATAAGTCAACATAACATTAATCCTAAAGATACAATGATACATAACCAAAATATTATCCGAATCCCCTAAATGCTCTTATAAAAACTTTCAGAGCACCTTCACTACCAAAAACCTTCCTTCAAAAAGAACCTGCATTTGTACTAGCAAAACAAAGAAAACATTAATGCAAACCATGTTAATTTAAACAAAAAATCAGAACAATGTAAGAATCAGTGATTGATCTTACCTTAATAGCTCAAGGCGGTAATCTTTGAGTCTTGAGTATTGCTCATCATGCTCCTCTTGAATCATCTCCAAAGCTCTTGCTTTTGCCTTTCTGCACTGATCAGTAGATGCAATTAAGCTCCAACGCTTCTGGATTTCTTGTCTGATGTTTTTAGGCATCAACTGCGGATTATCTCTCACATCATTCACAAACAGCCTAGCAATAACTTCTTGAGTAAGTATCTTGCTATACCCAGTATTCACACAATTGTGGTCATCATTGAATGTTTTAACCACATACTTCTCCACTGTTGTCTCATAAGCACAATAGATCCTCCATAAACATGGCTGATGCTCTTCTTCCTCCTCCGCTGGATTTTTTTTTGCAGTTTCTGGACTCTCTCTTCCAGTCTCTAAATTCTCTCTTTCAGTGTCTGGTTTATCTTTTGCAGTCTCCTCATTTTCTTCTTCTTCAGCTCCTTTCTCAGAATGACATCCACTAGCACATCTAAGTTCTGATTTTGTGCTCTCCCATCTCGTATACTTGATATTCCTTCCTGACTTCAACACATACTCCACAACTGCTTTTTTGAAGTCATCTATACTATCGAAGACTTGTTTATACTTCAGCTCACCACTACCTTTGATGTATCTCTTAAAACCATCATCACCATCAACTTCACAATCTGACTCCACGGGTGTCGCATACTCATCATACTCGTCATCTACATCAACAAAGGCAGCCACATTTCTTTCCACTCTTATTTCTTCATCAAACTGTCCACATTCATCTCTTGCTTCTTCGTGGACTTCTTGCTCTTCTCTGTTAGCATTATCCTCTTCATCACCTTCAAGCTCCACACGTTCAGGCTCCACATCTTCAGGCTCCAAAAAGATATCAACAGCTTTCGTCCACATTGCAGCCAAACACATTCTCTTAAAATTTTCATCACCATTAGAGATTGATTTCCTCTCCTCAAATCTATCATAAGGCAGTTTATACCAAACTTTATGCCCATACAAACTCACCGGAAGCTGATTCATTAACTGTGTAAACAACTCACTTGGCTTTGATTCAACGTACCGAACACCACCACCTTCGTAAAAAATCTGTCCTGAAACATTTTCAAATTTTCCACTGTGGTAGCAAGCAAAACTTGCAACAATCTCCTCTTCAGAACTGCATCAAATGTCCAAAAAAAAAAAACATAAGAACTCGTTTAAGCATTTCGTCGAACACATGGAGGACAATAAATAAATTTACTAGCTAATCAATTTAATCTTCAAATTGACACAATGTTTATGTAAATCTAAGAATGTATAACGCAATCCATCCAATTTCGTAACCTAAAGGAAGTGAATATGAAAGATCTGGGATTGAAAGATATGGAAACTCGACTAACCTCATTATCGGAGAAAAATCTTGTTTTTTGTTCTCAGATTTCTCGAATCGAAGCACCCATATACCGTATCTTCAATCTCAAATCTTCTTTCGTCTCAATCTTCGTCTCACTCTTCGTCTCACTCTGTCTTTCCTCTCAATTTCTGATTTTGGCTCGAGAAAGGGAAGAAGATGAACCCTAAGTCGACTAAAAGCCCCAAATTACAAAACGACGTCGTTTTGCTCAAATCAAAACGACGCCGTTTTGTCTCTGTGTCTAATGAGAGTCCACGTATGACAAAACGCAGTCGTTTTAAACGCTCACGTGTCGTCCTCGTCAGCATCCGTTAACGGAACAGTAACACCGTCTAGCAATTTGAGGGTTTCCACCGGATTTTTAAAGTTTGTGTTGAAAATTCAAATTATATTGAAGTTCATGATGGTTTAGGCACAGACTAAAGTTTTGTGTATGTAAGCGATAAAGCAACATAGTTCAGGGGGGAATAGGCCGTTCTCCCATGATGCCATTGGAGGTTGGACGAGGGAATTAAAATAAATGGAATATAATTTGAGAAATGAGTACTTTTAATGTTAATGAAGAGATTAGAGGAAACATTTGCTCTATTAAACAAATTAATATATAAAATATTTAGTTGATAGAAGATATTGTTTTTAAAGTTATAATTTGATAAATGAGTACTTTTAAGTTTTAATGTTAACGAAGAGATGAGAGGAGAGGACAAATTTAATATTTAAAAAATATTAAAATATTAAATATTGGGTTGATAGAAAATTTTGAATTTATTAATTTATTTGTAAAAAATTAATCATCTACTACCCTAATAAATCATATACCATCACAGAGAATCATCCACCACAAATGAAAACAATATATCTTCTACGAATATGATAGTCATCATTGGACCATTATATATCCGATATTTTCTATAGATTCATCCGAAATACACCAAAATAATATCTTTGAAATTCATCTACCGTACATCAAATATTTTTGACGATGATCTTTCTTTCTATGTTAGTCGCTAAAAGATTCATAATCCGATCATCACTATTTTTCCCATCAAGTTTTGTGTTCAATTGGAGAGAAATCATATTCTAGTATATTGATATATTTTTTATTCATATCTAAGATATTTGAATCTGAATTACTTTTGCGGTGCTTGATAAATTTTGTATTATAACGACAAAGGAAAAAAATCATAAAGAAATCGTCCTAACTTCTGATTTTGTTACTGGATGCTAACATCAAACTGCTCTTGTTTTTTTTTCCTTTGGGATATGAATATTGTGCTTGCTCACAATGTAGCTCTCACATCCTTTCTTACCCACATCAAACTTGGGCAAACCCAAAACCTTATCGGCTGCATCATACAATATTATCGAGCTCTAGTATCCCTAATTCCCTATGTCCAAGCCTTTGACGACATAATGTTGCAACTTCACTCTTGACCACCAATGTCGTTTCTTCACTTGAAGACCATTGAATAGAACTCGATACTGTATGATGCAGCTCCTTTGCGTAAAAACCAACTTGATCCACTTGCAATTATCTAAGGACCGTTCAACTGATTCTTGTCGAGCTTAGCTAGGTAGAACAAAATTATACTAAATAATGTCTTCCTCGCAGGTTTTCCTAGTAAGATTAACTAATATTCCTATCTTGATATCCTATAATTAAATTACTATTTCCGGAGATTTTATACAAGTAAATAATTTTATTATAACATTCGAATTAATACGCTGAGCATGACTATCTCTTCATTCGAATACGCTGAACGAAGATATATCTGAGGAGAGAGCATTCTCATTGGTGCGTGAGTGTAGCCTCAAGCAGCTATCTATCATGAGAAGCACACTGTTCAACAAGCAAACTGATAACAAAACAATATGATCACATCTTTTATGGAAAAACTTAATAATGTATCAAGGTATTTGGAGGTGGTGATTACGAAGGAGGGTTGCACCAAGGAGAGAAGGTAAGGAAGAAGAATTTTTATTGAAGAATATAAGTGTTTGCAATGATAACAGCATGATTAAACAGCTTAAAGATCTTGAAAGCTGCCATTATTCCAACGCAATCACATTTTAGTCTATTAACAGCATCGCCGTGTTTGGTATTTGTCACATATTCAAGGTCGCTGAATGTAATGAATTCTTGGTCAAGAAACTCTCCACGATATCAAAAAAGAAAGAGAAAATTTGTTCAGCTTATTGTAAACTCTAGAATTATATTCTTTTCAATATTTATGATATAGTTTTCATTTAATCTGTTCAGCTTATTATAAATACAACAAATGAGAAGGATATTTCAGGAAGGTTGTTTCTTTTTCTTACATGAAAACATAATTTTGACCGGACCAGAACAAATGTAACAATGTTTATCATCAAAATCTAGTTTAATAATTAAGAGTAAACAGCTACAAAAATGGTTCTTCTTTTTCTTCTCCATATGCATTTTGTCTCTACCTAAAATATTCTTTATTTCATTTTTCTCCTCTTCTTCAGTTACATTTGTTGCTGAGAGTCACAGTATTGTGGATACTTACACCTGCAAGGAAGATTTCTCACCTGCAAGAAGTTTGTCTCTCAATACGCCTCAAGAAGCATATACAAGATTGCCGTGAAACTATGTTTTACCTTCCGTAATGTGAAAGATACCCTTCTGGAACTTCTTCTGATCGCTTTCTCCTTCACCACGTCAATCTATTAGAGGACAGTACAACAGTTAGCAATTGGAAGAGAATGCAGTAGGAGTTATCCTGGTGAGAGCGAAGGAGGGATTGCAATGAAGAAAATACAGAGTATTTCGGTGATAAGAATACCAACCTTGTGATGTGGAATGTAGTGATTCCAAGCATAGCGTGCTTCACCGGATAATAAGAGCATGGACCGAGGAGGAAGATATAAGGCCTTTCTGATGCAAGAGGAGTCACCCGACTTCTCTGCATCAGCAGATGAGGCTTTCCATGTGGAAACAGAGTATCTTCTGAATTCCATAATACAAGGACCAGCTAAAGAAAGGCTGAAGATGCAATCTTCAAATGCTGAATGTGTGTCAATGTGAGGCGACAAACCCACACCAGATGGGTACTCATTTACCTAAAACATATTATTCACTAGAATCCCTCAGCCTTACGTAATTAGCAAACATTTTAACAGAATCTAGTATCGATGATGTACCGTTAATTGGTCCAAATCCAAGCTTGCTGAGTTAATGTCGAAGTTCGGGAACAACGACATTCTTTCAAGTATAGGAGAAACAAACGACGGAAGCTCGCCAAGACGCTTCTTGGTATCAACATTTCTTGTCCCATAACAAAACTCATATCCATAGTGTTGAACACGCCGTTTAGCAAGACCAATCCAAGGTCGAGCATCAACAGCTGCAAGCAATTGCTAATAAAGACATAAAACAATAAGTAACAAAAGCGGTAAAAAAAGAAATCAAATGCCTACACAACATAAGCACATTACACAATACCATGTACCTGTTCTTCTTCCACACTAACAAAATCAGGTAACAAGAAAAGCCCTGGGATATTCAACTCTGAATCAACCAAAGACACTGGAACACAATCATTCACCTGCGTCTACACAAAAAACATAACAAGGCTCATTGCAAGCAGATAGCAAACAAACATAAAGTTTCTGTCTTTTGGTAGAGATCAAAACTTTGAAACATAAAGATCAAAACTTTGAAACCATAGATTATAGAAATACCAATCACGATCCGTTATGTACCTCGGAAGGTAATTGAAGAACTGAATATCGAATATGCAAAGACCGTCCTTTAAGGTCAGGACATGGTCGACCATTCAAAGCTTCTAAAGCTGATTTCGCCGAACAAGGATCTGCGAAAGAGATAATAATACGAACGCCGCTATCGTCAGCCGCGTAGACGCCGTTTACTTTACCGTATGCAGCGAACACCGCCGCGATTGCGTCGTGTGATAGTCCAACCGCCGGTCCACAATTGGCGACGTATAGATTGGATGAATTTGATTCTCCGGAATTGGAGGAAGGCGATGATTTCGTCGGACGGACGAATCGCGGCTGAACCATTCTCGGAATAAGAGATTGTAACTTTCTCCGATTGTATAACGGCGAGGTATCTTCGCCGTTAGTTTCAATTGAAAACGACGACGTTTACTTGCGTTATGGGCCTCATTAGGCCCATTTGACGTTCAATGGCTGAGAGAGGGAAAAAAAAAAAACATTTGAGAAAAGAATATCTAGGGCTTCGTCAGGAACCTCCAGAAAAGTGAAACGCAAGGAAATGGTTTTGTAGCAGCCGAAGTAAGTTAGGTCCAATATCGCTACAGTGACTAGATTTGCTTGCGAAGTCTGTAATGAAGAGCCACAACAAATAAAGTCATTTGCCTAATCAAATCTAGGGTTTATTTAGGAGGCGCCATGAAACGTAAGGAGCGAGATTGTTATAACGAAAACGAGGAGGAAAATGAGAAAGACACAAACCCTTGTAAGTTAGACTTAGATTCGCTCCCTCTTGATTTAAAGATGGTTATATTAGCTAGATTGCCTGCCAAGTCTCTTATGAAGTTGCGACGCGTGTCAAAGATATGGTCTTCCATCATCCGAAGCCGAGGGTTCATTAATTCCTTCTACTCTATATCCTCGAAGCAATCGCGGTTTATAGTCGCTTTGAGTAACAGTGTATTCGGCAAGCCTGCGGAGAAACTTACCTTCTTCTTCTTGTTTTCCCACGATGACGGAGATGACTCTTCTTCTTTGCTACCCAACTTCGAGATGGCAATTCCCAACTGCAGCTTTAGTGGCTTCTCATATTTGGCTTCTTTCCATGGCATTCTCGCTGTTAGAGCAGACCATAAGTGGTTGATGTGTAACCCTAGCACGGAGCAATTCGTTAAGTTACCCGCTACCACTGCTTTCGTGGGATACGATCCCATTGATGATCAATACAAAGTATTATCCTGGAATAGAACTAGGTATGATTCTAATGGTCATCTGCAGCACAAGGTATTAACATTGGGAGATGGTGAAGTATGGAGACACATTAAAGATACCCCTTTACCTTATACTTATAGGGCGACTCAAACAAATATATGCGTCAACGGTTTTCTCTACTATGTTGCTTGGTTAACCCAAACTAAAGATATGGTTTTGGTTTGTTTTGATGTTAGATCTGAGAAACTGAGTTTTATCAATGCACCTAAGGATGTTGTGCAATGGGGAAGGAAAGCAGTATTCATAGAATACAAAGGGAAGCTTGCTTCCATTGTGAGAGACCCTTATGATCGTTTCCATAGTTTTGATTTATGGATACTAGAAGACGTCGAGAAACATGAATGGTCAAAGCAAACGTGTGTGTTTCCCTCCTCTGGTTGGGATGACGTTGAGTGTGGTAAAATGTGTTTTCCAGGCACCAACAAGGCTGGTGAGATCATTATGGCCCCAAAGAGGTTGTCATCCGATTTTCGACCCTTCTACATTTTCTACTACATTGTTGAAACAAAAAACATAAGAAGAGTTAGGCTCCTAGGAATTGGAGACAGTGAAGAGTTTAGGCGCTCTTATGGATTCCAAAGGACCGCCGGCTCCCGTCAATCTCTTGTTCTGATCGCACATCAACACGTCGAGAGTGTTGGCTTTTTTAAGGATCCTAGAATTAATTTAACTTGACTCGAAGGATCCTAATGTAAGAGAGCACTGAAAACTTGTCTTTTATTTTATTTTTACTTTTAGTTTTAATATTTAATTATGTTGTTTTCAAATTTTCAACACCAAACAAGCTAATAGTTTGTTTGTTTTTTATCTTTTGGGTATGCTGAGACGTGTGTTTATTATTTTTTTATTATTTCACTGAAGGATTTTATTATAAAGCCCTCAGAGCAAGCCCAATGGATGAATCCTTAAAAAAACTCTTAAACATTTTTTAATCATAAATTATGACAATTTTAAAATTAAGAGTTTCTTATGAATCCTTAAAATTTTCTTTGTCCAATGGTAGAATCCTTAAATGGGTTTCTTAAAAAAAAAAAAAAAAAAATTAAATTAACAACTTTGTAACTCTAAGATAAATAACTAAATCATTTTGAAAACTAAAATAAGTGATGGATTACTTTTCCAGTACAAGTTGGCCAAGTTTTCTCTGAGATTCAGTGTTTAGATCGCCAAGAGGATCAATCTCCACACCAGCTTCCTGTCAACACATCAAGATTACAATTATTATTGATAGTCCATTCGAAAAACGATAGAATACAAAAAAAATACAAGTCATACCTTAAGAATTTGAACCCCTTCTTCAAACGTTAACCTCAATGTCTTTTCAAGAAACTGCATGCATATTAGCGCCAATTATCAGAATCCAAAAAGATACGAAAACTATGTTTCTGTTACTCCTTGCTGCTCATCATGATACTGCAGATATATATATGGTTTACCTTCAAAGGTTTAAATGGGTATTGTTTCCAATAGCTTCAAGTTCCTTTTTGCATTTATTATTCAAACTAGTGAATATAAACACAAATAACTCGTCCACAAGGTCCATTATCTGCAGAAACAAGAGATATATTAGCACTAGTACTGTCACAGACTAGAAAACACTTGAGTAGAATTTAGATTATTAACAGCAAGTCACATATTGTCATTTGCTTGTGAAGCTGAGGAGACTGAGCTAGACAAGCAGGCTGTCCTTGGTATTCCAACCTAAATACAGCAGAACCTCCTTCACTACTACCGGCCAAGAGTTTCGGTGTGTGGATATTAACAAAATCCTTGGATAGCAAATTTTCTCTGAAAACCTACAAAAGTGATAGCTAATTAAGCAAAGCAACATACAAGAACAAAGCAACCAAATCATGGAAAGACAATAACTCTAAGATAAACAATCACTAACACTGAACAAAGTTGAATAAGGTATTCAGTTTTCTTGAAAACCCAACAAATGTTTTAACCGTAGTCACAGAACTCATAGAACATCTAGTTTCGATAAACCCAAAATCAAATCTCAATTCAAAAACCATAATTTCGATAACATCTAATAACACTAATCTAATCATACCGTAACAAATAAAACAGTTAGATTCATACCGTGATTAAGCGATTGGAGCATGGAATCGCCTAACTATCCGATTTGATTTGCCGAACGCACTGATTTGGTCCACCGAACTTATGTTGGTGACCACCGACAGTAGAGCTGATCATCACGGATGATTGGTTACGACTTTGTTTCACCTTTCTCTTCCAATTTGATGACCTAGACGCCGGATTATGAAGAACAACACGATTTGCTCTCAATTTCGCCATCGGAGAAATTAGAAAACAAGGAGAAGAGAGAGAGTCTCGAGAATAAAATGAATCGGAAAAGGAATTTTTTTTTTGTTTTCTCACATTTACGAACCAATCTCGGTGCCACGTCAGCGCCTCTTATCAGCCCAAAAAACTCTAAAACAAGGATTGTTTCTTACGTTTTAGATCAGTTTTGATTTAAATTTGGGCTTTTAATTTTTAAAAACTTAGGCTTAGAGCCCTCTAAGGATCACCATTGCTGTTGCTCTCAGTACATAAGAAACAAAAGCTCAAACCGGTTGCACATATCCGGTATCAGAGACGGCAGAAGAAAAACTAAATGCTACGATTATGAAATTTCTAAAATTCTAACAACTTCTCGTCATCATGCTTTTCAAAGACTTGAAAACTGAAATCTTCTTGGAATCTTCAAAATCTTATCTTCAAATTTTGTTTTCCTCACTTGGTAATAGATAGACTTCGACAATGATGAAAATTACTTCCTAAAATGGCAAGACAGAGCCTCGAAAGAGGAGGTAAAGACAAACCATCGAAAGCAGCCGAGGCCGGATTGTTGATTGTCGAACAAAAACGACATAGATCCGGTACAAAGGGAGGCAAAATCAAACCAAATTTCGATCAAATCTGGTTGAAATTTCTGGTGGAGGAAACTAACAAGAGCCGCGCAAACGGCAACACCAAAACCAAACCCTAAGGAGGTGGCGGATCGAACCGATAAAGGCCAAAGAAAGAACCAACAAGGAGAGGAGAAGAAACTTATCAAAATACATAATCCAACAAGCTTGCGGAGCAGATTAAAACCAAAAGAGTGCTAAAAACTATAACAGACGGCTGGAAATTTCATCACAGAACCGGTAATGGTGCTAGAGAAGCCGTCGGACACCGGTCATGGCATAAACACACGACAGCGATTAAAAAAAAGGACTGGCATCATCGCTAGAAAAGCCATCTGACACCGGTCACGGCCAAAAACTCATGGCCGCGGAAGAGAAAACCCAAAGAGAAAGAGCATCTTGTGTGTTTATTATTTAAGTCCATCTATATATACATTTTTGGATGACTTTTAGCAAATAAATCCTGGGGTTGAGAAGTATTTACAAAGAATACCATTGGTTGGATGGGTTTTTTGCTCCCAATTGACCCGAAATTGTGGCAATCGGATCTTAGCCAAAAACAAAAATTTTAAACGACATTAATTATTCAGTTACCAAAATCTCGCATTAAACCTATATGGGGGTCACTTTGTTACCGCATATCTTCCTCAAATCTTCCTCGAATCTTCACTTAAGCCTTTTGTTTCCCTTATGGATAGATCAATCTTTTATGGTAAGATTTTTCGTGATAAGGAGAGTAACAATGACGATTGATAATTGGCATATTCCTTACCTAAATTCTAATTCCTTTACATTATTCCATAATTGTGATATTTTCTTAAAGATTGTATACTTGCTCAACAAGATTTTCTCTACTCACTCACACATATCCCTATTATCTTCTTAAACCACTATAAATACCTCTCATTCACAGCAACTAAAATCACCAAATCCAAAAAAGAAGCTACTGTGTTTCAGATTCAACAGAGAAATCTGTTTCAATACCAATCTCTTATTCACAGACAATTTACGAGTTTGATGTTCAAATATAGATAAAAATCCTACATGAAGAACAAGATTAGCTTGGGAAGTCTTTACCTCTCCGAAAAAAGAAGGACGCTTGGTAGTGAAGAACCCAGTGGATTGGAATCAGACATGTTTCCTCAAGGTCTCTAAAGATGTTGCTGTTCAAACTGTAAACAAAAGACAAGAACTTTTGGGTATCAAGCTATCTCAGAGTCAAACCTGGACATTCAAGAAATTAATAAAGTTGTTGGAGACTGCATCGAGAATTTCCTCATGGAAGGGTGACGATCAAATTTCCATCTGGCACTGCACTATTTGAATAGCACCCAAAGGGCTAAGCTTGCTAACAATCTCACCAATGCATTTGATATCTACAAACACCAAAATTCAACACTTCAATTCCAACCCAATTTCAAGATTCATACTTTTTAACTGTATCAAACAATGTCTAAAGCTTTAGCCTTTATCCAATTAAGAGTAATGGGTCCTCACAGTGCACAAGCGAAGAAGACGATGAATAACGTAGTGTAATTCCTAGCGAATCGTTTGATTTACTCATGAACTCTAATTCTCGCTTGCTGAGAAGACGTTGGAAACGAATAAGAGTCACAATTGCCAAAGAAACCGGTGGTCCACGGTGGCGTATCTCCGGAAAAATCATCGGAGAGCTTGGAGAAAGGGTTAATTGTAAGAAGAGAAGAGACAGTGACGCGTCGAGACAAAAGAGAAGCGAAGAAACCACCGGTAATGGATGTTCATCGTCAGACGCCGCAGAAGTTGCGGCAGCTGAGGATGAAACGGAGGCGGAGGAGGAAGCGGCGGCGGCTGCAGCAGAGGTGCGGTGATCGAGGAGCTCGAGGTAGCTGGAATCTCGGAGCCAAGATTCAAAAGCAGGATCGAGGACGCTTAGAGAGAGAGGATTAGGAGAGAAAGCCATTGTTGTTGTTGTCGCCGCGATTATCCGTGCCAAACCAGTGACGATCTCCATCGTTTAGTCTCCTCGGCCAAATGGGCTTTATTACTAATTTGGGCTTCTTACATTGGTTGGATTTTATTCGTATGGGATCTCTAAATATTTGGGCCCATAAAATTTTTTGCAACGCTTAGCAAAGTTTCGAGATCTCTAAATTATGAGATGTTGTGATCTGTGGAACCCGTTATAAAATACAATAAATATGCAATTTTTGGTGTTGGATATTCATAGTAAATTAAGATATGTTTTTAGTAATATAAATAATTTAAAATCTAATAGATATAAAATAAAACTTAACTAACAATATACACATATTTAGACATAATAACGAATAACATTCTTATACATTCAACAAACTATAATACTTTTTATTAAAAATATTCCAAATATATTTAACTGCGACAATCTTAATAAATTTCAAAGCAACTCAATCTATATCCTATAATATTTACAAAAGCATAAATATTAAAATAATATATTTCATAAAAAAATAGCCCCGCGGTGTACCGCGGGTGAATTTCTAGTGTTTTTACATTTTTAGTGTGTTCATTTGCTCGCTTTTATAAGAAACTAGATAATGGTCCGTTTATATAGGTACGTGTGAGAAATAAATAAATTATGGATTGAGAAAGAGATATACATGACCAAAAAATTAGAGTTGAATAGGATTCATTATCAAATTTTGAAGGCTAATAATCTGAAAATGATTATGCATATTGATGTTTTACGAATAATATATCAAACATAAAAAATCACAAAATTTTCTGTTACTAATTCATATTTTACATTTTGATTTAGTTGAATTTTATCATATAAGTATTTTCCATAGTCATGGCTATGAAGAGTATTAGTGTTTTTGCGAATAATATATCAAAAATAAGATTTTCTTTGAAACAAAATCAGATCTATTTAGTTATGTATTTTAAGAACAAAAAATAGTAAAAACAAATTTATGATCAAACTTCTTCAAATATAATTGAAATTTACGGTTTTATGGCGCATAAATACATTACCTAATACATAAAAATAGAACTGAATTAAAGGTAAAACCTTTAACTCTTACAATATTAATTATATTGAAAAAAGACATAATTAAATATTGGTCTTTCGAAATGAACAAACACAAATGCAAACTACTAAAACACATCACTTAAAAGTCTCCATCTTCTGATTAAAGATGATTATTGATGTAAGGAACATAAACATTCGTGGTGGTGGAAGGCATGTGACCGGTGACAGTAAAACCAACATAACCCACATCTTGATGAGGATATTCCATCAGCATATTCATGCATGGTTCATGTTGAAACGGATACTGATTTGTATCCAAAGTCATATTCTGATTCAAATTCATATCAGAGATTCCATGTTGAATCTGATTATTAAAATCAACCAGAGCTTGGTATTGAACCGGCTCTTGTTGATTTTGACTCAAATTCATATTCTGATATTGAATATGATCACTAAAACCAGTAGGGATATAAGGCTAAATCGGCTCATACTGATTCTGATTCATAGGAAGATCAGCACCCGCAACAGCAAGAGGAGCCGCACCCGCAACTGAAGTATGAAGCGGAGAGGTAAGTAAGAACACTCACCATTTTTTATAAGTAACTTGATTCTGGAATTAAGCTTATTGATATAGTGATCAATATGAGAACTTAAATCTTGAAGGTCCCTTGCATCATACTGATGCTCACTCATCTTGCCTTCACCACAATCAAACATAAATTGTGTAAGCTGAGATTCTCGTACGGACTATTAGGACATAATGTCCCACATCGAAAGTTGGAAGGGATCCTAAGTAATATATAAGGGATATGAGCCACTCCACTCATTGCCAATG